ACACTACAGCGATATTGTTGTATGAAGTAGCCAAATCAAGATGATTTAAAGGAAGAATTTGTTGTTGAATTTCAAGTCCTTGTTCGTAAAATGAAAGTGCTTTCGAATACTCTCCCATGTTGTGATACACCATACCGATGTTGTTATATGAAAGTGCGACACGAGCATGCTTTGAAGGAAGAGTTTTTTGATAGACTTCAAATGCTTTTTGATAATACCCAACAGCTTTTTCATAATTACCTTGAGTCCGATGAACATATCCTAGCTGATTATAATAATACGCATTTTCACTCTCATCAGATGTCTTTTCAAGTAATACGTTATAAAGTTCTTCAGCTTTATTAAACTGGCCGATCTTATTCAGTAATCTACCTAACCTGTCCCATCCATTATAACCGATAGCTTCTTCTCGTATCTGATCAGTAAGTATTCGGAGTTGTTGATCATCATCTGACGTTAATTGTAATTCAACTTGATAAAGTTGATTTTGATTGTCTCTTGGTTTGATTGCAACCACTCGAAAGACTGCGTGCATTGAGAATAGAATTTCTTTTTCTTGTGCCCCGTAATAACTAAGTTCGTTAATACAGGCAAATGCTGTTGATTTTAACCAAGGATCAATGGACATTATAAAGAGAATGCCCACCGTATCCGGTTTTTTCGAGGCACATTCAGCGAATTCGAGAGACACTTCTTTATCTGTACTGGTGGACAAGAAATTGTTAAATGACATTAGTCCACCCTTTGTTTTCTGAAGTTTTTCAAAGTCCGATTTTATAAGACCTTGTCCCCGATAAACTGTGAATGGTTTGCCATGATACGTATTAACCTGTTGTTGGTATAGTTCTTGGATTTGTTGATGAAGATCATGAATGAAAAAACCCATAATAATAATAGTATCGCCTTCCATAGAGCGAAGGGCATAATTGAGCATCGAATAGATATTGGATGGGAAAGTATACCACCAAATAGCGGATTGTGCATGGTATTCTTTCTCAAAACGGTCAATATATTTTGGTGACATGCAGTCATGGTCTCGACAGTAAGTAATAAAGTCTTTGATAGCTTGTTTGTTATGTTCCATATCAAGAAGAATTTCCTTGAATAGCTGTGTATACATAAAAGTTGGCTCCAACTGATTTAAATTATCAGCTGAAGCCATGTCATTTACTGTGATAAAACTCATAGCTATTGAGTCTTGATTGGACTGCTTGATACCGATTCGTAATGCTTGGCATAGATCATCAATATTGGAATGAATGCTCTTGATTTTGTCGCATTTTTTTGTCCATTCTTCGTGTAGAGTTTTAATATCATTGAAGATATAGACACCATCCAACTGAGGAATATCATTGATGAGGGGCATCATTTGTTGAGACATCGCATCCTTGACAATGAGAGAAGACTTGGTGTCTTCTTGAGCATCTGTAAGAAAGTCGATGCATACATCTCGTTGCGTAAAGACATTGACATCACCAGTAATAGTTCGTATTTGTTTTAATGTATTTTCATAATCTTCTTTTACTTCGTCCATGCTGGTGTCTACCCATAAGAGAATGTAGTTTTGTGCTATACGTTGTCGTGGTTGACGGATATCAGATAATGTAGCAGCATCTTGATTTAATTTTGATTCGCTCATGCTGATCTTGTTGTAACTTGTTGGTGAAGGTGAACTTGCCAGTAGATATTGTTGTTTGAATGAAAAGAAAGATCACCGTTTTTCTTTATATAGACAGTGATTGATTTTTCTTCAGTTTTTTGACGCCTTCAAAGACATGTGTTTTTTTCTTGTCACTCAAGGACAAACTTCACCTGGTTATTTTTGAAAACAATATTATGCAGTGCAAAAAAACAGTAAAATCAAACAAATTCATCGATGCGGAACTGGCACGACGGCCAATTATATTTCGAATGCGGTTAATCAATCCGAAAAAAGGCACAAAATACCTATCCAGATCCATAAAATACCCAATATCCTCTTTATTTACTATTTCTAATCTTCTTCCGAGAAACCGTAAAACGTACCAGATCTGACTCAACGAAAATCTCAAAGATCCAAAAAAATTTCGAAGTCTTCAAGTTTTTCCGACATATTTCTGGCCTCCGGTTTTTCTCTGGATTTCGATTTTTTTTATTTTAATCATATTGCACTTCGTTTTAGCACCCTGAAAATTTATTAATTATTCGGTAGAGATTTGATGTTTTCTTCTATTGGTGTCCCTAGAGGGGTGACTGGGAAATTCGTTGTTGGATGGTTCGTTGCACGAATAATTAATTTGTCGGTTACTTGTTCAGTCAATTGTTGGAGTACGAAAATTGAGATAATAGATAAAATGTTATCTTTCATCTGATTCTTTTTTTGATTTCGATTAAAATGAAAAATATTGGCAGAGTTTTTATAATAAAGTATCTGATAATACAATTAATATGTTGTCGATGGGTAGTAAATATATAAACGGTTATTAAAAAGAATCACCTTCTTAAATTACTTTCTCAGAAACTGTAATAAAGGTATTTTCAATGACTAAAATTGCAAAATTTTCAACTGAAAAGGAGAAACTATTTGTGGTTCATAATTATCATATATCATCATGAGGTTCCGTGTGAGTGGGGATATTTAATCTACTCGCTCACCCACGCCCACACCCAATAGCGTGTACTTAAATACAAATACATATATATATAGTTTTGTCACCACGTTCTGATGAAGGGCAATTCTAACCCGAAACGTCAACAATATGAATTAACATAATTTTTTCATTTTTTCATTTTTATTTTAATAAATATCTTACAATAAATTTTATTTTATTTTAAATATTTTTATTTTATTTTATCTTATTAATAATAATGCTGTCATTTTAATTGAATTTTTAACTTTAATTCAACGTTAATTCAACTTTAATTCAATTTTAATTTTTAGTTTTAATTACAACCCAATTTTAATTTTAATATTTTTATTTATCATTATTTATTGGATAGTTTTATAATTATTAATTAATACATATATATATATAGGAAGAGAATACCTTAACTATTTAAAATTATAAATGTCCTTCCTCAATCGATATGAAGGTTTTATTAATATTATACATAGCTTGTTTAATCATTATTTGTACAACTTCACCAATTGAACCAGGTAACTCAATTCGATTGCATAGATCATTCAATGATATTTCATTGCGAATAAGAATACTGAATGCTTTACCAAACATAAACACATGTTCACTGACAAGCTGAACACCACAGAGTACTTTACGTGTTCGAGATATCCACAATTTACCAAAGCCTGAAGGAATAAATTAATTTCAGTATAAATACACATATACAAGCTAACCACGAGGAGGTGTATCAATAGTATATTTTATCGTAGGCGGAACAGTTACTCGACAAATAAACATATTATCAGCTGGTATTCGTGTTTGTCCCATTAATAATAATGGAGGTATTGTGAATATAAATGAAGGCATGACAAAATTAGGTTTGGGATCATTTAAACATTGACAAATTGTTCGATAGGCAATACTTATACCTTGTTCTATCGAACAAAAACTTTTCACACGTTGATAATCAATTGGAACAATAGGTGTTATAGGTATAACTACTGTTTCTCCATGTTCATCTTCCATCGTTGTTCCTAGTTGAATTTTACGTCCAAATGAAACACGTTCAATTAACTGAATAAGAGCTGTTGTTGGAATATTATGTACTGTATTCAATTTTCGTTTTGTACCAATAGCAATAAATTGAAAATCAGTTCTACAATAGTATCATACAATTAAATCTATCAAAAAAAATATTTAACGATAATATTAACTTAATTGAATCAGTCGTAGAATAAGGTGCAGTTTCTGTAAGATAATTTACAGCACATTTTGTAATAATATTGATTTGTTGTTTAATCAGCATTGATTCAATATAAGCAGCTATTTCTCTATCAATATGATTGATACTCATTAGACAATGTAATTGCTGTTCGATAATAGTTACTGAAATACAACCTAACTCTTTCATACATGAAGCCACTGATGTACCAACAGTACCGCCACCAATTACAGTTAAACTCTGAGAAATAATAACAGTGAACAAACCGTTTAAAAATATATAGAATCTACCTTGGGTATTTGATCCAAATGAATAATATCAACTAGTGTCTTCAATATTCTATTATGATTAATTTGATTTGAATAGTCTTTCATTGTACAACGACAAATATCACTACTCATTATTACATATTTTGTTCGTAGAACAGCAATTTGAGTTAATTCATCTTTCATAATAAATATAGAAAGATCTATAAAATCATTAGTTTCTTTTCTCATTCTTTAATACCTTCACTAATAATTCGAAGAACATAATCTTCAATCATGACAATAGTACCTTCATATATACTAATATCTTTCTTAAAAATTTCTTTTTCCAAATTTTGTTTTGTTTGCAAAAAATCTTGTTTACATTCATTTGTTAATTGTTGCCAATCGAAGTCAGATGTCTTTTCATCAAATTTGAATTGAAAACCTTTTGTACAAAGAGATTGAATAGAACGAAGTCGTCGTGCTGCTTCATACAAATATTTCAATGATAAATATTCATATAGATCAACCATTATTGGTGTATTTGGTCGACTAACAATAGCTACATGATGACCATGTTGTTTAAGTATCAGAGCAATTAAATATGATGATAGATCTCGTCCAACAATAACTGCTGTATATTCACATTCATTTACAAGTTTATCATCAAGATTTATACCGTGTGGTTTATTATTAATCATACTTGGTTTTATAAGTAAATGTAAAAATTCATTTTACAAAAAGAAAGATAATCATCTCATAGCAACGAAATTAGAAATAATTTAGCATGATTGAATTTACAAAACAATCGGTCAATAGCATGTTCTCCTTCTTTACAATATTTACTTGGAAAATTCCAAGTTTTTATAATAGAGAAAGCACTCCTTTGACCTGAATAATTTTTCTTCTCTATAAATACATCACAACATAGTAACATATATAGAGTACTATACATTATTTATGCAGAACATACACGACATATATTTTTACAATTTTAAATTTTAAATAGATAAATAATAAAAACATTAACTGGCATCTAATTGAAATCGAATTATCATATATTGTAAGTACTTGCTCATGTCTAAATTACAACAACTAAATGATTGAATACTAATAGTTGTACACATATGTAGATTTCGTATACTTATTTTTTATTTTTTTAATAGAAATATTGTTAACGGCATGGAAGTTGTAGGTGAGTAGGTCAAAGAAAACATTTCATTTGTTTTTTTTTCGTTTCTATTTGCTTTCAGAAAGAGAATATGACTCATTCAATGTCGATCAAATGAATATTTTTGATTTATCTAGTCTCGCTATAACACAAGTTTTAAAGCAACAAAGAACTGAAGCGTATAATTTTCTTTCAATAGTAAAATTTTTATTTGATTGTTTATTGTTTTAGTGCTATTGAAAATTCCAATCTATTAAATGTTCTATCACGTGTAACCATTGCTCTTGCAAAATATCCAAATGATACTACACTTTATAATTATAGTGATCTACAAATGTGGATATACACACATACAAATAAACATGCACCTGCTGATATATGCGAATTTTTAACTCGAATATTTCTTATACGTTCAGATGATTATGATCAACAAATATTATTTAATTTACGTTTAATTTGTGCTGAAGCTTATCAAACAATAGGTCATATTGAACAAGCACACTGTCAATATGATCAAGCGGAAATACTAGCAAGCAATTTAAATAATATAACAGAAATAATAACTCTTCACGATAAAGTGATAAAAGATCGACAACAAAAAAAATTAGAAGATATAGGAATGAAACTTGAATTTCAAGCAGAATTTAAATGTAATCTTATAAAAGGTCGAAAACGTTCAAGATTTAGTACGTTTTCTTAATGATAAAGATTAACTAACTGAAGGATATCTTCTTCTTTTAGATTCAACGTATGATGATTTTCTTAGTCAATTAAATATGGATAATCCAAGTCCAGAAAAATGTCGTTATATATGGCGACAGATTGTACTTCAATTTGTTCTTCAGCCAAATATAGCTATACCTAGTGCTCATTGGTTACTTTCATATGCTGCTCGTCTTCCATCTAATAGTCTTCAACATGCAAATAGTCTTTATGTTGCTCTCAATCTCTTTCTTTTTGGTTATGGATCAACAATTTTTCAGCAACAACAACAACATTTAAATATTGATGTATTCAAAATGTTAGATGATATTGGACGTTATTTTGATGAAAATGGTAATCAATCAAAACAATTTTCACCTATACATAAAATGGCACATGTTTGGGGCACAGCAGCAGTTGCATTTCATTTAATATCTGATATATATCAATATTTAGTATGTGCATGTATGATGAGAGTTAGTTTTGAATCATTAAATATTTGTTTTATGTCATCCAGCATTGAATCATTATATATACTTGCACGTACACATGCTCCAGAATTCTTTACGATGATGAGTAATATTCCTAGTATAAAATTAATGTCACCTGAATGTATAAAATATATTCGACGACAAGTGGAAAATAATCAGACTTGTATTCAATATTCAATTGAAACAGTGAATCGATTTGTTTTAGACGTATTTAATATCGATCAAAGTGAACATCGAATTTAAATAATATTATATGTATATTTTTTTTAATTTTAATCTCAGATATTGTAACGAAATAAAAGGCACGATCTGATTTCTATTAAAGATTTCAATAAGATGAACATTAAGTTGACATTTATTATTCTACATTATACAATAAGATTTATACATACAGAAGAAGAAGAAAAAGAAAAATTCAAGATTTAAGTTTAACAGGTGGTACATGTTTTTCTGCAAAGCATTTGTCGCATACCCATTCTGCATAATTTTCATGAATAAGCATTTTCAATGCATGTTCTGTTAATCCAACACATGTTCGATGATAAAAAAAATTACAACCTGATTCACAAAGCACTGTCCCTTCAGTATCTTGTGCTTCTTTATGACATGAACCACATATAGCAATTGAAGATGAATTTGGATTTTGTGGATTATTAATATGATGTGTATGTGGTGGATAAGTACGTGGCATCATTTGTGGTGGTGGTGGTCCATGCATAAGCATCATACCACGTGCATGAGGTGGTGGTGGACCAGGACCACCAAGTAAATTACTCATATGTGGATGATGATGAGAAGGTGGTGGACCATGCATCATATGTGGATGTGGATGCATCATAGGTGGTGGTCCTGGTCCATAAAAATCATCAACAAATTGACCTGGTTGTGGTGGAGGATGTCCACCAGGATGCATCATATGTGGAGGTGGAGGACCTCGTGGTCCACCAAAATGCATAGGTGGTAATGATTGTTGTTGATGCATCCGTTGTTGTTGTGGTGGTTGCATATCATCACCAGGAGGTGGTGGAGTATTACTAAGTGAAGGTAATTGATTGCCATTTCCACCTGTACTTGTATTAAGAGGACTTGCTGCTCGAGCACTTGGTGGAGTCGTTAAACCTGGCTTTGACATCTGAAAAGGAAAAACAAATATATATTCTCAATAAAGATCTATTTACTATCTAAATTAATCACGAATAATTAGAAAAAAAAAATAATATAAAACTATTTCTTATGACATATTTAAATTCATATCATAGATGTATATCAAGCGAGTAAACTAAAAATAAAAATATTCATTGCGATTGTGCATTAAGCATGCGTACTATATAAAACAATGGACTATTCTAGTAAGACTAATTAATTCATCAGATCTATCTATTCTTCTCATTATGTCTATTTAAGTATTAGTAGATGTATCATATATCATTGATAAAAATGTATCATTTGATAATGTTATATTAAAATATTCCGCACGATCATATAGATTCATAACAGCACAAATTAATGTAGTAGCCATAAATACTAATATTGCTACCATAAGGAATAATAATGCTCGACCTAAAAATAATTGACGATGTTGTTTATGAAATTTTTTCTTTCGTTGACGATCTAATTCATCAAAAATTTTATTTCGAATTTTTTCTTGTGAATCTTCATTAAAGATATTATCTGGAATATTCTCAGTATCATTTAATTCAAAATGTATAGCAAAAATATCTTGTGCACGTAATAACTCTTCATTATATGGACGATTATTTAATGCAATACGTTGATCGATTGGAATATTTTTTGCTTTAGTTTGTAGTTCATGACGTTTTAAACGTAGTTCATGTAGAAAACTATTTTTTAAATGAAGTGAGTTTGTATCCCAAGTATTTGATTGTATTGTAGAGTAACATGAATCTCCTCCATCAGTTTCATTAATACCAGGTAAATTTATATGACTATTGGAATGATGAATTATTGGATCAAGTTTTCGTATAAAATTTAAAGCTGTTGAACTAGTTTTTAAGCGTGTTGATGTTTTATTTGTTTCATGAATAGATGTAAATGAAATTGGTAATGAAGGTGGTGTTGGTATATCATTTTGTATATTAATTAATGGAATTACTTCCGATGGATGAGATAATATTTTATCACGATTAAGTTCATTGACTGATGTAACCTGAAAACGATTTGTCGTCATAATTTTTTTATGGAATGTTACAAGATTCAATTCATTTCATACGAGATTATCAATGAAGCCTGCGACGCGAGAAAAAAGACAAAAAAAAAGTTAATTATCATTTTCTTTGGTTTCTATTGGTTAAAATAATAACCAATAGATAATTATGAATAGACATTATTTATATAAACTTTATTAAAATATTGTGAAAAATCGTAAAGAAAATTTTTTTAATTTATTTTTTAATAGAATTAAATTAATTTGGATGATTTATTTTCATTGATTGTAATTGGTTCAGAATTCCCAGAAAACAAAACACACACACATGCACCTCAAATAACAACAAGTAAAGCTCATCAATAAATAGACGAATGACTAACTATAAAATGTTTATATCATATTATAGTATTTAATAATTGTTTGCCTATTAATTCTATTTAAATTTGAATACGTATTTCTATATTCATATTTCTTTCAAAAATATTACATATAAACATATTTGTTCCGTTTCTCTGACTACATAAGCCAGTTTTCACGAACTTGTTTTGTCTTATTCAAATATTGCTTTTTTTTCTTCTTTTGGATAAAGAAAATAAAATCTTGACAATGTTATATATTGATTCTTCGGCTATTGCCAAAAATACATTCGATTTTGATCGACCACGTTGACTAATAATTCTATACGGTAATATAAATATTTTTTTTTCTGTCATACATATTACCTTTTTTTTCTCTTCTTTAGTTTTGACGAGTTCTCTTCTCCTGTCAATTTTCAACATTTATTCATTTTTTTGCCTTTCGTACAATTAATAACTATTTGAAATGAGTAGTCCAAGAAAATTTGCTGAAAAAATTGCATTAATACAACAGAAACAAGCAGAAGGTGATGCAGCATTTAATACAATTATTTATGAAGTTGAAGCGGCTAAACAAGTATGTGGAAATAATTGAATAGATAAATTGAAAAAAGAAATTATTTCATTGTATAGAGAGCCGATCGTGTTTCAACAGGAAAAATTAAATTGGATGTACCAATACGTAAATATGACAAACCTTTTGAAGTAAAAAAAAATAATTTGAAACATAAATTCAATTAAGATTGATTTTTTTTTCCTAAAATTTAGAATTATCAGGAATGTAATGGAATGAACAATTTAGATGATAATAGTACAAATAATTATCCTCAAACAATTCAAGTATATTTATTATGTTTATAATATCTATGGCAATTATTATTTTCTATTTATTATTTAGATGGACAATGGTCATGAAGCCGATCGGCTTTTGCAACCACCTGACAATTCATCATGGCGACGGTATTAAAATATATTGAATTAAATGTTTTTTTTTAATTTTATCTCTCATTATAGAACTCATTCAGATTCATCACTTCATCATACTATAATGCCAAGTGTTGCTGCACATTATCATAATCGAATTGAAAATGATAATAATGGTATGTGTGTGTATATATGTAGTGGGAGGGAGAATCATTTTAATTTGTAAAAAATGACTACTATTTCCTAGGACAAGCATCAAATTACGATATGATTGATATTAAATATGAACCATCACTCTATTCATCTCCTTCTCATCATCCTCATCATTTACAAGTATCAAATTCACCTTTTCAACAACAACATCATCAATTTGATTTAAATCATAATATAAATCCTAATTATATGAATGGTCGAACAAATATGGGTTATTCTTTAGCACAAATGGCTACACCAATAGGACCAACAGCATCATTACCAACACAACCTGTTGCATCGGCACCATCAAATAATACTCATACACTTTTAGGACCACGATATAGTGGTGGTTCAACAGGTTCCAATGTTCTTATGTTACCACCAAATCATCATCCACGTGGTGGTTCATTACCTGATTTACGTACTGAAAATACATTTCACCATCAACAAGTATCATTTTCAACAACACCATCACCACCAACATCTACAACACAACATTTCTTTCGTTCATCTTCACCACAACAAAATGGCGATGGAGATTTATATAGTTTGGTAAGAAATATTTAATTTTAAAAAAAAAATATATATATATATACATACTTGTTTCATATTAGGGTCCTCAACAACAATTACCATCAAGAATTGGACCATTAAAACAAAGTCCAAGTATTCGTCGACGTCATAGTCCAATTGGTGAAGTTAAACAAACATCACCACGTCGACAAAATTCACCATCACCTGATGTTTTACCTGTAAGTAACTCCAATATATATACTTCCAATAATCTATATTTTATTCATTTAGAATCAACAAACTGTTTATCGCGTTGAACCTTCAAGTCCTCAATCTCAATCAAGTTATTCTCCACAAAATTCACCACATTTATTACCTAGTCCAGGCAATGATCTTGGCCCATTTTCACCTCAGCAATCAACAGATAATAATCAGCAACAACCTTACTTTACATTACCTACACATTTCGATCAGATTACATTAGTAAATATATTATTATTTCTAAAATAAATCAAATTAATCTTATATGTATATATTAGGATAATAATTTTTATACTCAACAACAACAACAACATCAACAACAATCATCTTCATCACAACAACAAAATCCTAATCATTCGCCCACAGCAAATTCAGTTTTAACATCATTATCCAATGATATGAATGGTATACAATTGAATTATTTTCGTCCACGAAATATTTATCCAAATTTTTTGGATGATATGTAAGTATTCATTTCAAAGGCTAGATTTATTGTCAATAAATGAAAAATGAATATCAGCTTATATTGCTTTTTCTTCTTTCTTAGAAATAAAAGACAAATCATTTGCTAAGTACATATAAAAATAAACTAGATCACTAATCTTTAGAATTAATATTAATAGTAAAATATTTCTATTTTAATTAAATTGTCTTTTAATCTTTAGATCAGCAAGTTATTGTCAAACTCAAACAACGGTAACTGTATCAGCAAATGTTAATCAGAAAAGTCCAACTATTCCGAATATAATATTAACTGGTAAAATAAAAATTCTTTTTTTTAAAGAATATCTATTCATTTTGTTTTGTTATTGTAGATGTTGATAGTTCGAAATTAGATTTATCGAAAGAATTAGCAAATGATTTTTCAAATACATTTGACAGTTTAATTGATCCAACTGATTTACAATTAAATGCAGAAGATTTTGTAAATAATTTCAATGAAATTATATTTCATAAATTTTATTTTCTCTTTAGTTGCTCAATGCGTCGGATCTTTCAATTGATCCAAATATGTGTGATGACACATTTCGTATGGAAAATTAAAGAAATAAACATCACAATTGAATGTATATAATTTATAGAAAAAAAAGGAAAGAATCTATTCGTATGTTAATCGTTTTTTTTATCTAACTGATATTTAATTAAAGAGTGTTATTGAGTATGAGCAAAATATTTCTATCTACTACTCATTTGTTATATATATATATATGTATGAAATAGTGTATGGTCAGATGCGCACGGCGCTAAAATATGTTTTCCCTTCTTTCGAACAAATATCTAACAAGTTTTTTTTTGGAACAAAAATAAAAAAATGAGAAAATACAGAGAAAATTCATCTCAGGAAAATTTGTATCTGTGTGTATGTGTTGTTAATCGACTTTCTTCTTTTTTTTCTGTTTGGTATTTGCACGCTCTTATTTAATGTTCATCTTTTCTTTTCTTTTTCTTTTTTTTGTGTGTTTGCTGTTGTGAATTATCTGCGCGAATTGCTTTATGACATCGTTAACATGACGTATAACGCTCTCGTTTTCTTGTTTGTAAATATATATAATATATATATATATATGAGTTCTTTTTTTTTTGTCTTCATTACATACATTTTTAGCTTATACAAATGAAATCTTTTAGTTAGCTTATTCAATTTTCACCTATATTTCTATTAACCGTTGTTTTGTATGTTTCCAATTCTCAGGTAGGGTCAATGAAAAATAACCGCTACCGATTCATTTGTCTATTTTATCTTTTTTGTTTGTTTTTTCTGCTTGTATTTCTATTTCGTCTTTTTCTTTTCATTGTGCTATAAACGTTTGTTTTCTTTTCCCAACAATGTACAGCAATATTAACAACAATAAAAAAAAAAGAGAGAGAGATTTTGGATTCATTGAAATAATTCATTTAATTCTTCATCATTGGGAATGTCATTCATTGGATTTTTATCTGAAGAATTTTCTTCATTTTCTGGAAGAATGGTTGGTAATAAATCGAGCTACGGAAAAAAAAAGAAAATAAGATATTCTTCTTGATTAATATTCAATTACTAATGTGTGACTAGCTTGTTCATCATCATCATTTGGTAATACTTGAATATTTAATTTATCACGTAAATGTTGAAGTGCGTTCTTTAAGAAAAGAAAGAAAGAAAGAAAAAAATGCATGAATAGAGTAGAAAAGAATTGTTAATTGAAATACCTTAACTGGCTTTTTACTACCAAGATTTTCTGCTTTTTCAATAAAATCATCAAAAGCCAAATGTGGTACAAGACGATGAGCCCAATATTCAAATTTATGCATTACTGTATCTAGATCAGCAAACTATGCAAAAATTTAATAGATAGAAATGAGAAAAAAAACAATTCAATGTTTATATTTAACTTACTTCATGACCTTTGCCTTTGAACTTCTCATTTTTAAATAGATTACATAATTCTTCGAGACCTCGTGGGCCTGTTAATCTAAATTTAATAACATAAGAAAGTATTAAAATATAACAAAATAATAATTAACAAACCTATCAACATCAAGTTTTGGTCGAGGATGTCGTGCAACTTTTTTTTTTGCTACTTCATTTGCTTTTTTCATAATACTTTCAACATTAGCAGTTTTAGATTCTTCATCATCATCACTACTTTCAATTCTTTTGAGTTTTCCATCATCTTCATCACTTTCATCCTCATCATCATCATCATTTCGTCGAAGATCATTCACTAAATCGATATCCATAATTTTCGTTTATCTTATTTTAATTCAATTATATTGTACAAAAGAAGACCAAAGAAGAAAAACAAACACTTTTTCAGTAAATTCGATAACCAATAGATATAGATGTATATGAACATTTATCTATGAATTGCGACATCTGCTTTTATTTTTAGTTAGGATAAATCTTATTTATTGAAATAATTAAAAGTTATTATGTAAAAATTAGCGTTTAAGTCAATGTTATCTTGTCTCTAATTAAATATAACATTCGAACAAGTATAATTTATGTCTATGAGTTTTTTTTATAGAATGACAAGTACTAATTAGAAGTCATTTGGAAATTTGAGTTCGGTTGACGTCAAACTTGAATTAGAAAAGTTGTTATTGGGCTGAAAATTATTAGGTTGACGCATAAAATATATATATATATATATATTTTTCTTCTGACAAGTTGGCTTACAAGAAAGAGGTCATTAATGAGCATGTTCTACCTAGGGAAAAAATAATAAAGAACAGTGTGAGGAAGTGATAGCTATAAAGATTATTACTAACGACAGTAATTGAAAAGATAATTTATCATATTACGCATAAGAAAAGCCTAATAATAGAATGAAATAAATTTATCTTGAATATTATCAATTTTGAAAAAAAAACGTTGAATAGAATATAACTATCATATTCATTTTCAAAAAAACTGTTGTGAGAAAAAATATTTAATAATGTAATATAATATATTTTATGTTTAATTTAACATCATGTTTGTAGCGTATAACTATTCAAAATTCTTTGGAAAGAAAAAAAGAAAGAAAGCGTGTTAACCTTGGAATAAACAGGTAGATGGAATATTCATCATGCAAAAACATAAATTGATCTCATGAGATTGTAGAATTCATTTAGAATATTTAGTTACATTTATAATAGTTTTTTTTCTTCTACCAAATGAACTACAAATGACGAATCAATTTGTTTTTATCATTATCGTTACTGTTTAATATCATCATTATGTAATTGTAATATATATATATATTCACTAATAATTATGTCAAAGAATCATTATAGATAATATTTGCATGCAGCTGTTAAAATCTATCTTTAGAATTACGAGAATATTATATGACATAGACTACTAAACATGATTGATTGTTATATAGTTGACTTAATTTTTGAATATTTGTTGAAGAACGAAAGAATTTTAGACGTCATTAAAACTTTATGACTTGAGAAGGTCATTATCAATTAATGATTTAGACTCTGTTGTTCGTAATTACTAAGAATATTTTGTCAAAATATTAATAAGTCTCGACAGCATATTATATTTAACTAAGTAGAACTAATATAAAACAGTGTTTTGTTCCTCCCTAACTCTTTTTGATTATTAATATATATGTAAAGGTTTTATAAATATAAAACAAAATGTGATTTTGTTTATCATTAAATACAATTCATTTTATTGACAATAAAATACTTAAATAACCGTCAAACAGAAATGACCTTCTTATATTCTATATTGACAAAAATCATTTTTTAATGCATCAATGCTCATTGCCAAACTTATCCATATACTAACATCATTATTAACAGTATTCGACAATAGAGTATATTAAAGCTGTACGAAATAAAAAAATGTTTGTTATTTATCAAGGATAATATGTGTCACAAAAGCTATAGTACAATGTTTCTTTCATACTTAACATAAAAGAGTGAAAGTTATATGATGAATAAAAAAATCGAGTCAGACACATAACAATGAAACATACGTATTTATCGGTTGATGTATTTTGTCAACAAGAGACAAAAAGACTTGATCGACTAACAAGCATAGAAGAATAAACAACAAATTTATGTAGATCATTCGTTAGAATAACCTTTAATGAGACAAGCAACACTGTTATATTAATTTATAATAAACTTCATTTGTGTATGACAAGATAATATTTATTGAGTTTATCATTACGAAGAGTTCATATACTGTACTTTGTAGTTAATAAATACAGTATCAATTCTGTAAATAGAAATCGAAATCAATATTGAAAATAATAAATCATCACATTCACAATGTCAAGAGTATCATCACATTTTTTTTTTCTTCTTTTTTATAAATCGAACACACTCTTTTATAGACATCTACTCTATATTCATTCTTATATATGTTCATATAAAGATAAGTTTCAATTTGTTTCGTATTGTAGATAAATGAAGATTATCAAATATAAAAGTGAAAAAAAGAATATCATATCAACCCACTCAATTTAGATAATACATATTAGATCATAAAGATTATCTGATTTTGTAATTGAGAATTTTATATATATGATAACGGTGATATCTTATTGATATCTTCAAGTCATCCTACTAACATACTATTAAATATTGAACAAAAATAGGTATAAATTATTTTCTTTTCCTTTTTTTTCATAATAACGATTTCTATCTTATCGTTTTATCTTTTTCTGTTATTTTTTTTCACACTTTATTAAGAGTTATACTTATCGTATCGTATTGTTTTATTTACTTGAAACATCATATAATCTGTTTGATATTTTACATTTGTCAGACGTTTGATCAGTTATTTTATACTTTTCAAACAAAAGATATCGACATATTTGTACTTTTATGTTATTCAAGGACTATAAAGATTTCACTTAGTATAACTGAATGATTCTTGAATAAGGATTATATGAAACAAATAGACAAAGTTAATATTTTCTTTTTCAAGTCAGATTGTTTTATCTAACTAAAGAATAGACACATTTCTTAATCTAGCTTTATATGTTATGTATGACAGTACTTCTATCAATAGAATTTTATTGATCTATAAACTACTGTTGAATAATAAGTGATATCTTAACTGTATAATATATTTAGAAATATATAAAAGTATTATAGAATAATATACTTATGTGTTAAAATGATCTGTAAAAGAAATTCTATGGCTTAGAATAAATATCAGACATAATATTGAACAATAAACAAAAAGGAAAGACTGTTGTGATAGAATGAACTTTGCTGAACGTTATCTCTAGGTTAACCTTGTAATAGATGAGATTAGATTAGAAAAAGTTCTGTACACATATGTTCGTTTGTCAAGAGTAATATATCATATATAAATATGTATATTTCTTCATCAGCACTTCTGTGTGGACGTCAGATCACTTGCGTAATCTTCATGACATACCGTATGTGTGAGAGATGTCAATCATCGTCTTATTGTTGCGCCTGTCTCTAAATGGAATCCATATGAAAGAAGGCCATTCAGCACCTTCATCGCCTACTATAAACGCTATTGATTAGACCTTCTCACTTTCGACTGTTGCTTGCGTTTTCTCTCCCTCTCCCTTTCTCTCTCTCTCTCTTTTCTCGTTGTATGTCTGTATGATACTTTCTGTATATGTCTTTCGTCATCGATAAGAAGAAAAGTGAATGAACACATACATGGTTTATCATCGACACATAAAGAAAAACAGAGTAACGTACAATAGTGAAGACATAGACGCGACGAATTTGTAAGGCGTTGAGTTTGATTTATGTGCATGACACTGATCAAGACTTGGATTGTTAAGAATTACGATATATGAAGATTTATTGGAAACGAGGGAATATAGAGACACTCGCCTATCATAGATAGACAAGTGATTTAATGACTCGCCTATCAAACCATTACATGAAGTAAGAGAAACTATGATAAAGTCTAAATGAGAAACAGGCTAGTATACCTGGTCATATGTCTTGCTATTTGTTGTTATTTTGACCAACCTACGTACTATGCATATATATATATAGTTTTTCTCCTATACGAGAATATGTTCTTATTACGCGCATGATTGATTCATTAACCACCCATTGCAACGAGAAAAAAGAAGATGAGACAACGACACAACCTAAATAATAACTCATCAGAATATATATATATATCTTTTTTTTCGACCTCGTCGTTAATAGCCACTCATCATATACTCTTTTATCTATGTACAATATAGGTTAGTTAAATTTATATCTATCAGATTATTAAGTGACATACAGGTATTGAATACTTTTCCCTCATAAATATATGTTCATTACTAATTATCATCATGAAAGTGTCGATAGTATATAAGTAGTAGTGTAAGACATTAGTTGTACATTGTCATACAACAAAATGTCATGTCAATAGACAATATGATGTACATGCGTGTGAGTAAGAAGACAACGAATAATACAAAAGAAAAAGGTGAATTGATGATCTCATTAACTGTTCGTAATAATAAATTAGTTTTTTGGCTAGTGACGACATGCTGAGAAACCTTTTTTTCCTCTTGTCAAAGATTTTGTTTTTATTAACTCATTACTTAATAATTTTATTATATATGACAATAAGGTGAAAAATTGTTTATATATAACCGAAGGTTATTCATGAAACCTGTTTCTCTATTCTTGATTCGCTTCGATAAACGTCAAGATATCATTTTTCTCTAGAACAATCCAAGGTTATCATTGATTTGTAAAACAGAGTAACATAAAAATTCTTACCATTTATTATCTCATAAAGACCTTACTGTCAATGCTTCTCCTATATGTATATCCTACAAATTTTTTGTATATACACTGTTTAGTTTCATCTGATATTGATTAAAATAATCTTCTATTTTTGTCTATCTATAAAATGAAACTCTAAATCAAATATAAAAAAACATAATTATTTGATTGAGACATACTATAATGTTTATAACATATGACGCCTACATCAATACTTTCTGGTCGTTTTGATATTAATTGAATTTAAGTTGGTGTACCTATATTATAACATTGACACACGTAGGTAGTAAATGTATACGCGAAGGATGTGTTCCTCTCTTTTCCTCTTTTTAAACACTTTACTACTCATAGCGATTGTACAATCTAACGTAGTAAACCTCTCATTCAATTAATCCCTTTTATGATGTCGCTGCCGAAGAAATTCTCTCTTCCGTTTTTCTTTTGTTTTTACATACCATAAGTTCTCGAAACAAGTAAAATAAGATAAAGAAAAGTTTATTGAACACATCTACTTAACTTTATACTCTATCATCCATCGATTAGGTTTACTATATATATATAGCTTCTCAATGAATACATTATATACTTTTCATCAACTTAATTTAATTAATCAAAAGTCTCATCGTATATATATATGCATGTATGTTTCTTTTTTTCTCTTCTATCATAGATTAGTATATTATTATTCAATTTTTATGTCTTTGCCTCGTTTTCATTATATGTAGTGTACTTTTTCATTTTTTTCAATACTATCATTTACCTATGAAAGTAATTATACTTCAAAGAGAATTGATTTACTTTCAAACAAGTAAAAACATTTAGTAATAACTATTGTCATTTAAGTAAATAAAATACTAACATTGAATCGAACAGTTGAACAATAGACCGATCTTATATTAGTACGTTTTATTTCTCGAAGAAAAGTAAGTTTTTATTCATATATATATTTGTTTTCTTCTTTCATTTTTCTTTACTTGATATAAAGATGAATTTATCTATCAGTTGTCTCAAATTTTTTTTCTTTTTATATAGATTTTTAGAGTAAATATGTCACCAACATTATTGTCGACGCCCTCTATCTATGATCATATGATAAATAATTATCGAAGGCCTCACACATTAACAAGAAATATTACAGATACATTAAACAGTTCAAATAATAATGCTCCTAGATTATCTTCATCAAATTCAAAACCTGAAACTGATTGTTTATTAATGACAAGAAAAAGAAAATCTACTCCAGTCGATGAAGAAAATCGACGTCATACAGTTACACATATAACTATAACACAACCTTCTGTACGTTGTTCAGCAAGTAATCGAATGTATGATAAAAGAGTTCCACAAAAACCTTTAATAAATTCAAATATTTCTTCAACATTGAGAGGAATAAATGCAAAAATAAGTGATACACCATCATTATCATCAAATATTGAAGTTAAACCTATGGATTTTCGTCCATTGATTATCAATGGTCGTCGACGTTTTAATACAATCTCATCAAGTACACCAATGGTTATTATTAAAAAGAAATCTCCATCTCCAATGAATACCAATCATATTGAGCAGGTATGTATATAATATAAAATGCCAATGGTATGTGCACGTTTTCTTATTCACGTACGCAACATTATTCTAGAAACCATTGCCTCGCTCGATTCCTGTCAATATTACTAGTAATAATACGGCAATGGTCGTTAGTACTGTGATACCATCATCGTTATCTTATTCATCGTCTTGTTCTTCCTCTACAGCTTCAGCAACATCAAATAATAGACCGACGATTTCTGTACCAATCCAAGTGACAAAAACAAAGCAAAATAATAATATTAAAACTACTATTCCAGCTCCTGCAATTACTACAATTAATATAACACATGCAAATCAACGAGGTTATCGTTATATTCAAAAACAACCACAATACTTAAATTCATTAATACATACAAATTCTTCAAATCATATGCATACATTACCACCTCAATCGGTAAATCAAATAACTTTCTCTTCCTTTCTTTTTTTTTTGAACTTTTTTTTTGCTCTACTTGAATATTTTTATACTATAAGGCACTGTTGAGTAAATAATAGGGACAAAAGCTAAGACAGTTCAGGGACATACATACGGTGCTCATTTCTTTAACAACTAGACATCTGATAGGTCGTAGGAAAAAAAAATGATAATGGATAATAATGATAGTAGTTTGCTTTTGCTTTTCTTTCCACTAGCTATTGATACCATACACTCATGGATGTGTCTGTGTCTAATCATTAGTATAAGCAGTATGTCTATGTGTAAGATGCCTAAAGTTCTTGCTTTCTTCGTTTTTTCTCTCTTCTCTTCTATGTCTCTTTCTCTTTTACATTTTCTTTGTCGCTCCTTCTTTCAGTCCCTTATCGACACATAGTTATTTGTCGTATGAAAAAGAGAAGACAGATGGACGAGCACAAAATTCTTTCGACTCTCTTCTTCTCTATTCCATCTGCTTCTTATGTATAAGGCGAATACCACGCGACATACATTATACGTATTCTAATAACTAGTTCAGGGTTATAATTTACTTATATATAACTATATATATATTTCTGCATTTTAGAATGATGATGATGATTTAATAAGAACATCTTCTTCATCTTCATTTGGTGGAGATGTTAACAAACATAATACAGAACTAATGACGGATTCTAATGTACTTCGTTTAATTCGTCGTTATGATCCAAATACTGCTGGTATTAAAGTAGGTCGTTCGCTTGAAAATACTCGCGGTATATGGCATACAGTTAATCCTAATTCATTATCATCATTACCGTCCAATGCTTCTTCATCTTTACGTTCATTTCTACCACAACGAACATTATCTACAACATATGAAAATAATGAACCGGTTAGACAATCATCGATGCCGCGACTTCAACGTCAACGAGCATTTCATGAACATGAACCACAAACATCACCAAATCTATCTAATTCAAGTCAAGCAATTCTAAAATATACTTTACCAACAGTACATACTGAATTTAATATTCAACCTAAAAAAACTGAACCATTAAGAATTGAAATTGAACCACATGTTCCTCCATTAGGACATATAACAAATGAAAATACCGGTCCTTATCAACCGTTAATTACAACTGGTACAAAACGAATTTGTGCTGCAATAAGTAAATCCGCAAAAGGTTCACGTTTACTACATGATTTTCCTTCTCCTACGACACCATTATCACCATCAACATTTCCTGTTCGACCATCATCACCACGAACACTAATTAGTCAACAACAACAACAACAACAAGAAAATGAATCATATCGACCATTACTTAGCCGAAGTAAAAGTGCCGGTGGAATTGAAAATAATGAACAAACTGATGAAATTGATGATTTTGATGAAAAATCTCTACCAATTACAACTGGTTCGTGTGTTAATAAATTAAAACAATTATTTACACCAAAATCATCACTTGATCTACCAAAATTTCCATTAAATAAACAACATCGAATCGATTCAATTGATTCAAATCTTGATCGACATTTCAATACAAATGGTGCAAATATAAACAAATCGGATATATATTCATCAACATCTTCACTTATACAAAATTTTTCTCATCCAAATTCTATTGACTCACAAAAACAATCAATACCAAATGGTAATTTAACTAAACCAACAGTACATATTCAGGAAAATTTAACAGTATCTTCACCATTACTTAAACGACCTATACTTCAAAGTCACAAAACTATCGATAGGTATGTAAAAAAAATTCTTTTCTTTCCGATCAAGAAATACAATAAAACGAGAACGTAAATCTATTATTGATTGACAGGTAGATCGAATATTCTAATGACTTTTTATTTTTATAAAAATAAAGACATACGCAGATATTTTGCCTATCATTAGTCTCTCGCCTACTCCACACTGGGCGATTTCTAACTATAGTTTCTTATATTTATATATACGTCAGTCATCATTTGTCATCAAAGTTCATGTTTTTCAACACACCACCCTTATTGCTGATTAAGTTACACATGATACCAATGACCATGCAAAATCTATCTCATCTTACATAGTAAACATGCAAGAAATTGCAAATGACAAAGACGTAGAAGAAGAAAAAAGATCCAATATGGTGTTGATAGTAAACGTACAGCTATTAGTCTATCCATATGTAATATTCCTTTAGGCATGAATAGGAGGGTTGAGTGCGTCAATTTCGTTTTTTCTTTGAATAAGAACCGAAATAGGTATTCATCTAATTGCATTACTTGGAAAAAAAAGAAAAGAAAATGAAGTATTTAATAAAGTTTGTCTTATGTCTCTTGAACTCGAGCATACATATACAACTATTAATCACTAAACATTATTCATATATACTAGCTATTAGCTACTAGAAAAATATAAAAAATTCAACAAGGTCAACATACCATTTTATATATTACAATCGACACAATATACCTATAAATCTGTATCAATAGTCTTCATTCATGTATTGTTAACACATTTTCTCATATTTCATGAGCCTATATATATATATGTATATGTACGTGCCATGCTTTGTATTCACAATATATATATATACATAAATACTTAACATAGAATGACCATCTGTCTTTCATTCGTTTGAATGAAAAAAGCATCAGCGAATACCTTTACGATTAATAATGACTTGGTACATATTCAAATCGGCTTTTAATCATCTGTACTAGCAATACAACGATAAATCGAAAGAAAGAAGAAAAAAAAAAGAACTATTCAGGAGTTATCATTACTGACCGCAAAGATTTATTATATAGAACGAAAGAAAAAGATAATCGATGAAGTGCATTTCTCCTGTTTTTTTTCAAAAAGGATTTTGTTCTATACATGAACAATATCATGATTCTTTATCTCTTTCTTCTTTCTAGTCAATAGACGATAGAGAATGAAAAGGGCACAAATCAAAAATAAATAGAAACAGATATTCTCATTCTCTTCATATGTATTAACGCGTACGAATATAATCAAATCTAAACATTCTCTTTCTTTCTATACGATGTTGTTAGATTGAGAGATTTATTTTTTTATATTTGACATTACTCATGCTCTAAGACACGTCAGTTGCTATTTCTGTCTTTGATTATATATCTCACAATAATAGTCTAAATAATTAGTTCTATTATATAATTCGAATTCTCTTGTTTTCTATCTACATATATATATAAGGATATGATTGAGTAGCATTTGTTTATTTCTATAACTACATATTTTAGTACTGAACCGCTCAATCGCCCAGATAATAGCAATATAATGCCATCATCTGAACTTTCATATGATGCTTATCGTTTTCGTCGTATGAATGATCATGATCAAATGGCATCAACAACAGCAGCACGTCCAAAAAATATAGCAAAAGTTGAACCATATTCAATAAATACAAATACGGTTCGGCCATTATATCCATTATCGTCATCACAATTAATAGGAACACCAACAACACCAACTACAATACCATCAAAAACACGTATTGTTCTCAATAGTGTAGGAAATACTTCAAGCAATACATCAGCATCTTCATCAGCTGGTTCTCTTGGTGGTACAATTCATCATCAAAATGTTCGTTATTCAGACTTTCTTACACCTAATCCTACTTTTTCAACGCCTGCACCATTATCTTCTTCACATATATCTCAACCTCAACCAAATTCATCGTCTTATATACCAAATCAATCAACTTCAATGTCATTGTCCGAAACACTTTCGCATGGTTCATCGCAACGATTACCAAACAATAATAATACTACTTTATTACATAATGCACGTTCTACTAATATAGTTCCATCATTAAACGATCCTACACAGAGATTTCGATCACCAACAAAATCAGATCTTTATTCTACTAAGGTAAATTATTATAAATAGAAAAATCTTTATTCTTCTCTTTTTTTTTGTGTGTAGCAAACATCTTCTTTACCATATCAAAATGGAAATAGTACAATAGTCAATAATAATAATAAATATGAGCAATTTAATAATTATCCTCCACCAACTTCATATCATTATCGACCAAGAGACTTTGCTTCATCAACATCAGCAGTTAATACGACATCATTAAATAATAGTCGTCCACAATCTCAAGGATCGTTGCATTCAACAGTTGTCGAACAACAACAACAACAAGATGAAAGATCTAATGGTGGACAACAACAACAACCTCGTCGTCGTTTTCAAAGACGTAAACAAATGAAACGTTCGAAAAGCGCTGATTTATATCAAGAACCATCGTCTATATCATCATCAACAAAAAATCAAATTAATAATAATTATTTCTTTCCAGCAACAAATACTAATGAAGCAAATAAACATCATCGACAACAACGATCAATCAGTCGTGATCTTATCGGAATAGGCGGAGAAGATGAAAACTTATCATCATCATCTACCACATCATCATCAATCGCACATATTGAACGCACTAATCGAGATGCTTTACTTCGTTATAAATCATTAGATTCTATGACATTTAATAATCGAAAATTGAATTTAAATGGAAAAACTAATAATACTCGACGAGCAGTATCAAAACCAACAAATATTGATTATGATAGTGATGATTCAGTTTGTGGTATACCAAAACCTCGAAAGTAAGATATAATTTTGATTACTTTTTTTATTAATAGACAAGATAAACATATCTAGTTGACAGCAATTAATTAACCTTTTTAATAATATATATATATATTTTATCATCATCAAATTAGACCCATTGATTGTCTATTTTATTTTTTTATTGCTTGATATCTGCTGTGTTCTTCATGCTTGTAATGCGCATTAATATTTGTTTTTGTGTTTCTCCTATTTCTCTAAATGAATGTATTATTAAATTTAGTCAAATATTGTTGCTTGTTATGCATGTTAGTAATATAATTATACGGTAATATCTTTGATTGACTTTTGTTTTATCCTTTCGTTCTATTGCGGATGCATTGCTTGAGGAGTATGATAACCATGCATATCTTGATGTGTTCGATTGTTGTTTGATTGATATGAATTTTGACCATGTTATGTATACATAACCTTGCTGTCAACTAGATCGTTGTTCAAAAATTAATTATGGTACCAAATCAAGTTGTCTTCTCTCTTCGTTATAGGATAATTGGACGATGAATGAATTTGTATAACAATACATTACATCTTTACATCAAACATTATAAAATATCTTCTTTTTTTGTTGTTGTTTTGTTTGCTATTGTCATATCAATTTGATTAGTATCTATAAGTCTATTCTACATAATGGCAAGATGAAAACGAAATAATACCAATTAGACATTTTCGTTTTTCTTTTTTTCTATTGAAATTTTTTCTATTGTTATTGTGTAGTCTTTCAGAATGCTGATTTTTCTTTTTCTATTTGCTATACATATATAAATGACTAATTTTTAATTTTATCAAAAACTTCTCTTAGATAAGATAAATGAGAAACAAAAATATGCTGTTCATCATTCACTTTTTCTTTTGCTGTTTTCTTATTTTTATGTGTTGTTGGTCTAATATGATGATGATGACGAAACAATCAATAACAAACGAATGAACGAATGACCTTTGCAAATATGAAATATTCTTTAGTTTTTTTGCTTATTAATTATTCGTAAATATTTTTATATCTATCAATGAAAAGTAACAAAAGAATAGTGAGAATTTATTACTTGTATTGTTGACGTCTATATTAAGAGGAGAATAGTAATATGATTGATTGCTGATGTCATGTGTATATCCTTTCATTTTTAATCAATAATATACATATTTGCTCAGCTTAATATAGTAAAGAGCCTTGACTGAATATGGTGTATTCGATTTTACTAATTACTTTCCCAGTTATACACATATCATGATATAAATATCGATGAAATAGACTAACAACCTTGTATATTACCTCTATATTAATAGATGAGATTTTTTTGTTTATTTGAGAAAGATCTTTGTCCTTGTGAACGTACAAGGATGTGAAGAATGTCAGATAGTCTTTTTTCTTCTATCAACTATCTTTGAAAAGGTTAATTGAGAGTTTATTGTTTATTTATAAAATATTTATGTCTCTATATTAATAGAGAAATAAGGAGTAATGTTAGATTACTATTAAATTTTATTAATTTATCATATCATCAGTAATTTTTTAAGATTTACATTTAATCTTTTATGTATAATAATAAAATGATGAAAGAAAGTTCAGTAAATCATTTTGAGAACAGATGCATGTACGAAATATTTCAAAATAGGAATTAATAGACAAAGAGATATCGGTAATCAGTAGACAAAAAAAACGAGAATACGAGAGAAGATAAAAGATATGGTTGTATATGGATGACGTTCGTGTTCGACTCTCTCCTCATCTCCTATCGTCATCGTCACGATAGAATATTAATGTATTGCATTTATCAAAAAAACTATATTGTGTATGTAGTAATATATGTATATATGTTGTTATTTCTCATTTCTTCATCTCTCACCAATCATTGACATATACGATGAGGCTTATATAATCAAGGGAAAAAAAATATGTGAGCATTGCTTGCGTACAATGTTCATATTCTCACTCTTATGATAATATTACGTTCTCTCTTTGTCTTGACTTGTTTTTTTTATGTACATATATTGCCTAGCATCAATGGCATCCGAATTAAGTCAAGATAATTGTTTTTTCCTATTGTTAACTGCCTATGTTCAGTCAAACAATATATTCACACACATACGTATATGTATATTACTCTTCTCTATGCATTGTGATTAAATATAACAGACAAACCATACTAAAAAATTATTAGAAGTTATACAATAGCAATACTTTATTTGATTTTAAAGTATAAAGAAAATTACAATCGATTCATTATGGGAGCATGGTATGTATATAACAAAAATATATGATTCATAATTAAATTTATCATATCTTTTAACATTCTTGTATTATACATTTTTCTATTATATTACATATGAAATTTACAATACTAGTAACAGTTGTATAGTATCATTTACTCGAAATTTTTATTAAATTTATACAATAAATATTGATGACAATTTTTATTATTCTTCTTTTTTTTCTATTTAGGCTTTGTACGAGTACAAAAAATGCCATTAAATCAGAAAGAACATTACTCGGTATGTATCTTGTCTATTATTTCTATTGAAATTAACAGTAGGTAAATAGATTCATGTAATGTTGTATAGTCGAGACCACCTACACAAACATCTTGTTAAAAAGGGCATTCATCTCTGAGTGTTATCTCAACAATAAATCTGTCTTTTTATATATATATTCTAGTTTGTCATTCAGTTGATATTTATTCTTACATTGAGTATGTAAATTTCTATATATATTTTCATACATTTTGTTACAAATATATGTCATAAATATAAAGATCATTAGCTGAAAGGATAGAAAAAAAGATCTTTGGAAGTTTAGAGTTTGATTAATATATCTAATACAAATTTATCATATTAATATAAGGAGAAAAACAAAACTACTTATTTTGTTATTCAAACGATTTAGATCTTAATGATCATAGACGTATGTAACATTAGTTTTTTACAAGTAGATAGAAGTTTAATTAAAAATAGTACAGATTGAGTTATTTTCTAACAAATATATTTTCTTATGTAATTAAATCACTTGTTTTCTTGATAAATTCTCAACTGTCGCTAATTAATAGAAATACGAATTTGTAGAATAAATAAAGCATAAATGGGTGGTACAGTTTTTTTTTTCTTCTTATTTTTCCGCCTTTAGACATCGTTGATAACAAGTCCGTTACTAAAAAATGCTAACCATAATAATCTGCTACGAGAGACGAGGAAGAGCCTTGGAAAGAAAAAAAAACAAGAAAGTATTCTGGAGTATAGATAACGAAAATAAAACATCAATATTTGTTATAGTATACGTATATATTTATACATACATACACATAGATATATATATATCTTTGTTGGTACATATATATAAAAAAAACGAATAACTTCGATAGTATACTTTTTTCGATTAGTTAATGTCACAAATGATAATATGCATAGTAATAAGTGCTACTCGACTTTTTTTCTCTTGATGTTTTCGTCAATGTTATTTCTCTGACGGTTATACTAGTTTCTCATTCTGCTTATTCGCACAAACATATTTGCGTTATACGTTGTTCCATTAGCCTTAGGCCTTATTCTATCTACGTAGTACAGTCGAGAAGATTTGTCATCACTTTCTTGTTCTTTTCCATTCTTCTTCATATTTTGTCGTTAGTATTGCGACATCAACTGTTGTTTTATCATCAGCATACGTATATTTTCTTCATCTAGATTTTTCATCACGAGAAAAAAATCGCTCTACTAATACACAAGCAACATCTATCCACAATATTGGTAATAGTAGTACAAGTACAGGAATTACAAATTTCATTCGTAGGGATGAGATTACAGCCGACCAAGCGCATAGATTGGTTGAATCAAGTTTTCTTACGCAGCTGTCATCGACAAAAACACCAAATGGTAAAAAAGAAAGACGAAAAATAATGCAACACGAACAACAATCAAAATTATCTTTTACTGAACCACAATTTTATGCACGAACATCCAATACACCTACAACCAAACGACATGATTTAATCTATCCAAAATCTAATGAAATGTATGCATCACCACCTATCGATGATGTATTTCATGATGCTATCAATGAGTTAACCGCAAATAAAGATCAAACTATTGATGATAAAAGTAAGACTATTTGCATTTTTTGCCACTAGAATTGTCATGTATGAAAACAGAAAAGAAATAGAGCCGTCATGTCATGTATGTCATTATCGACCTCTTTTCATATGAATTCATTTACAAGAGCATCAACCAATTTAACTACTTTGAGTGCGTCTGCAAATGGTCACCCTCAATTTTTCATCTCTTTCTCTTGTCACACACTTTTATCGACAACATACAATCATAAAACATGCATATGCCGGACATAAATTAGTACTCGACATACATACACACAGACAGACATGCCAGTTTTTTTCTTTTCCTTTATTCTACTATTAACAACAATAAAAAAAATCATTTCTAGACATTTCTCGTTTTTTTTTCTTTTATTGTCTATAGATATGCCAACACAAACTTACACTGATTGGAATCATCCATATGAAGAAAAATATGCAAAACAATCTGTGCAAGATCAAGAATTATTTATTACTGAGCCTACAGATGGTATATTGATTGTTTATTCTTTTAAAAATTTCAATAATAAAAATATTTTGTTTTTCTTAGTTATAATTCCAGTAGAAAAAGAAAAACCATCAAGTAATACAACTGTTGTTAATTCATTTGAAGGTCTTCGTTCGTTTGATATGCCCAAAGAAACAATAACACCAATACTTAGGCGTCCATTAAAATCATCCGTTGAACAAATGCAACATAATTCTGAGGATAATAATGATTCAACAACATCATCAGTAAATCGTTCAATATACCTTCCAATTGAAAAACAACGCGGTCTTTCAGAAATCATTCGAAAACGTAATAGTCGATATAAAGTTGAAGATTATAAACGTTCAATTCAAAAAGCTAGTACATTCGATGAACAACAATCTGACTATTTTCGACCATCAACAACATCAAACAATGATAATTCATTATCAAATGATCAAACATCATATTCTGGTCTAAGTCCTAGACAAATAAAACGTTTTAATAAAACGAAATCTGTTGATTTATCAATGGAATATGATCAACGATCACCACCTTTAGGTTTAAGAAGATTTAAATCAAATGATAGGATTTCCGAAGAACAAGGTTCTAATGAGTAAGTAACGAGATAATATTCAGGTGTCGCTTGTCATCAGTGTTGAAAATTTTCCTAACGAAACGAACTATCCAATGGATATTGTTGTCTTTCTTCTAATATATCATAATTAAAATTGTATGTTTTTTGTTTTAATTTAGAAACAATGAAATTGATGACAAAATGAATGTCGCCGCTAGACGAAATGTGTTTGAAACATTTTCAAAAGATTCACCATTTGCTCGTAGTTTTATACGATCGAAATCATTTAAACAAGAAAGGTAATTCAATTTATCATTTTAATATCATAATGATTTATCGTTTTTTTTTATTATAGGTCACCATCGTTATTAAACGAAAGAAAATCTTTATCAATAGACAAAAAACATGATACAGAAGAACAACAACAACAACAACAATCTAAAATAGAAAATATAATTCCAACAGAAATTGATGCAAGTTCAACAATAGATAATTCAACTGCTGTCTTTGATGATGATACATCAAAATTAACATTTAAAGAAAAAATGATTTTATTTAATAAAAAGAAAAATCCTAATTCAACAGCATCATTGACATTAAAAGCTAGTCGTAATCGTCTTACACAGGTACTTCTGATTCATATTTAACATATTGATTCCTATGACTAATATGTTAGAACACAATGGATGTGTGGGAGAAAAGAGATATGATTCAAAGAAAGAAAGAGAAAAAGAAAATGTGTGTCTATTCACATTTAATAAAAGAAATTCAATTTATGTTCTAGCCAATAACAGCTGAAGAAGTACTAGCAGCTGAGCATTTTTCTACTGATACATCTCCAACATCAAGTTCAAAACAATTAGAAACAGCACCTACTGGTACATCTCCAACATCAAGTTCGAAGGAATTAGAAACAGCACCTACTGGTACATCTCCAACATCAAGTTCGAAAGAATTAGAAACAGTACCTACTGGTATTTATCGAATATATTTACAATAATAATGCATGTATTTTTTTAATGTTATATATCTATATAGTAAATGACAAACCCTTAATGCATGATAGTTTATCGTTATCATTAAATTCTTCATCCGAAGAAAAATTTTTGCCAACAAAAGCAATACTTCAAACATCTATTTTACAAGAAAATCGTTTTAATCAAGAGCATGTTAAACATCCATCTATGCATAATATCGGTATGTGTTCGTATAGACTTTAGTGTTATCTTGACAATTGTCAACACTTGTTCGTTTATATATCTATTTATCTATCTATCTATCTATCATCGCTTTCTTATATACTTTGCGTTCTTTTTATAACTTGAGTAAAAATATGAAGTTATTCTTGTTTCTATTTTAGACGATACAACTATGTTGAGTCAAGAGGAAGCAGAAAATATGATACCGGTGAGCAAAAGGTATGTAATTCAATAGATATTTGCACTTTATAATGTAAAATAATATTGTTTTTGTTTTAAGACTCGAACAATTAAAAACATATGGTGAAAATGAATGGAAAAAACGTATTAAATCAACTAATGACGCAAATGAATTTACTGTTGAAGGAAAACTTCGACAAGCAGGTATGTTGTTTATCTTCAAAATAAACAAAATAAAATATTTTTTCTTTTTTTCAAGGAAAAATTCCAACACCCACAGAAGAACAAAAACCATTACCAACAAGTACACGTAAAACTCCAACATTAAAATATAGTGCAAAAAAAGCGAATACTGATCAACAACAACGTGCTAAAACAGTAGATGTTGTTCGTCTGAAAACTGGTTAGTAGGAAATAAAAATTGATTGATTAACATCATCCTCTATCCATTTACTTTCTATGTCATTATAATATATAGGTTTTTATTAATAAGAAAAGAAAGAAGTATGTGTTGACCTCTTTTTCTTTCTTTTTTGCTCTCTGTCTCTCTCTCTCCCTCCCTCATTCTGTGTGTGACTTAAGCCACCATTCTTGAAATGTTATGTCATCATCAAGAGTGTAATAGTACCATCTATGTCCGTTGTCGTCTAATATATTCACGTAAAAGTTACTCGTTCATCCACACTAATTCATTTATTGTTTTTCACACTCATGTACTTATCTAACTGTATATATATACATCGTTTATTGAGTTAAATTGAAGCGCATGCTTGTGCATTGACGCATTGATCGATTGGTATATGCTTCCTAACTTTAAATGAAATGTTACGTCAGTAGGAAAAATAACTAACCATCATCGTTTCTAGTTACTCTTCTCCTACCGCTACAAGATATAGATAGTATGTTAACTTTTGTTTTTCTATCACTGAACGTCTCTTCTATATCTCATGAGAGTGTAGAATGCATTGGTCTCTTGCATAACAAACTTATACATCATAAACAATAACATACAAAAAAAAAGAGAGAAAGAACTCATTCTCTTTTTCACTCTCTCTTTTCTCTTTCCTTCATCATCTTCTTCTTCTTCTATACAAACATACGCGTTCGACTGCTCATCATCATCACTCTCATCCTCATTTTTGCTCGATTCATCGACAACAAGCATACTCCTCTTCTTCTTCTTCTTCTTCTTCAATTTTCTCGTCTCTTTTAAGCATATACACATACATCCTTAGATACAGCCCACATTTTCCCACTCACAACATTCTCGTTTTTAACCATGAATGTACATACCATTCTTGTTAATAAACTATCTATGGATAAAAAGAACAAGATGACATATATTTACCATTGATAGTATTTGAATATATACATTTCTAAGTCATCATTTGTTGACAAAAATCAAAGGTGGATTACACTTTTTTTAAAGATGTGACAAAACACATACATTAGTGTTTTTTATTATCATTTATTATCATCAAAATCATCATCATTATCATCATCATCATCATCGTTATTATTATTATCATATAACAAAATAACAAGGATTCCTAGGCAAAAAAGAACAGTCTAAGTATTATGGGACAATGTGTCGACAAGGACGTTGCTATTGAACAGCACGACGAGAAGACAAGTACATTAGTTATTCTATTGTAGATTTTTTTCTTCAGTTTTTTTCGTCTCCTTGAAAACAAATGATACATATAAATACTTAACTTAACCTTTTTTATTCTTATATTTAGAATCGATCGTTAAGAACAAGGACGCAAAGCAAACATCTTCATCCAATAACAAAAGTAATGGAACAAGTAAAATTAAATTATTTCTATTAATTTTATTTATTAAAATAAATTCTTTCTTTTTTTTCTCTGTGTAGCGTCAACAAAATCAAATAATAATAATGTTGTTACAGTATTAAAATCAGATACAGTATCTGTATTAAAACCAGATGATCATTTTGATGATTTTTTTGCTGATTCAAATAAGAACTTAAATAATGAATCATCTATTCAATTAAATACGGATGATCTAAATCGAATTGCTGAAAATGCTGTCAGGTTAGATAAACTAAAAGGATTGTAGATTATATGTATAGTCTTGTTTTTATTATTAATTATTTTAGATTACAATCACAACCAGCTCGTGTTCGTCCACCTCGTCGTCAACAGCAAGGTGCAAAAAATCCACTTCGTCAAATTCAAGCAACAATATCAACTGCTGATGAATATACAGAAGTACATACAAATATTTCTGAACAAGAACTTCGTCGATTAAAACGAGCTCAAAGTAAGAAAATAATTAACGAAATCTACTTGTATATGTTGATCTTCGTATTTATTATCAATAAGAGAGTAAATATTTGATACATGATTTAGTATAACTTCTATCTTAACTCACACTCTTAATCATAAACTTACACAAACTTGTATGTAAGCAATTTTCTAGTTGAGTATTTGTATTTAGTACTTTATTAGATCGTAGTGAAATAATTAAATTATATTGACATCAAGTACGATCGTTGAAAGTGCTTGAAAAAGCCAATTACAATGTCTGTCTTGAGAGTTATTTAATAAAGAAATCGATCATTCTTAGAAAGAAACGTTCATTTTAACTTATAAGAAAGTTATGTATCTTGTACTTTATTCAGATGATAAGATCTATCCCGAGGGTGTCACTATTCACATTCTCTATAGGTACTTTACTGATAATGATGCATAATATATATATATCTGATAGTTATTATCTAAGATATTATCTTTAGACAGATTGACCTATAAAGATTGAACAATAGTTAGAAGAATTTTTATCTATATTAATACTCGAATATTTAAGCAATTAATATATTTCAATTGTTGATTTGCTTCAATAAATCTTCTCTCGACCTTGTCCTATGGTAACATAAAGGTCAACCTTGATAGTCCGGAAATGTATCAGTACTTAGTAATTAACTTCTTTGATGCTGAAAATTGATTCTTTATATCTTTAATCCAGTCGGAAATGACTTAAATATTTTTTAATAACTAACTCTTATCTTTATTTCTTTTACATTATTCTAGTTGCTGAAAATGCCGGTCTTGCTCAAGAAGCTTTAGCTGCTTTGGCAGCTACAGAAAATTTTGCTGAAATTAATCTACGTAAAATTGATCGTTCATCTCTCGCAACATTTGGTTTTGAACCATATAAAGATATTATGCTAATGTTAATTAAAGGTCGTCGTCATTGTTCATTACGTCTTGTCAATCCAATATTTGATTCAATAAATGAAGGTGATTGTTATTTATTAATAACACCATCGAAAGTATTCGCTTGGCTTGGTCAATACGCTAATACATTAGAAAAAGCTAAAACAATGGATATTATGGATTTTTTAAAACAACATCGTGATTTTGGTTTACGTAGTGAAGTAAAATATTTTGTCTTAGATCAAGCAAATGATGATACAGAAACTGATATTTATGCTGAATTTGCTGATATGTTACATGGTGATGATGAAAATTTTAAAACACTCGATAGTGTCATTGATGATGATTATTATGAAGCTAATGTTATGGAATTAAATCGTGTCTATCGTCTTGATAATGATATGCTTATACCATTAGATGATTTTTGTTTTCGTTCATTATCAGTTAAAATTCTTGATCCAAATGAAGTATTTGTTTTTGATTTTGGTTCCGAAGTATATGTATGGAATGGCAAATATGCTGATAAAACAAAACGTAATATAGGTTTACAATTAGCACAACAATTATGGAATGATCCATATGATTTTTCGGAATGTTTAATTAATCCATTCGATCCATTAGATGGTAAGAAAAATAATGAATAAAATGTATATAATTAATTTATTGTTTTTATTTGCGTAGATAAAAGTGAAGCTGGAAATCAAACGGGTAGTAAAAGACCAGTATGGTGTGTATTTGGTAAACAAAATCAAAATGTTGAAACATTATTATTTAAAGGAAAATTTTATGATTGGCCTGGTGATCTTAAAGAGCTTAAACCTATTAATGATGCTGCTAATAATGTTAATCGTATACCATCAGCAAGACGTGTATGAATTTAAATATTTTCAAAAGAAGTTTTTATTTATTTAAATGAACTTTTCTTTTTTCTGTAGCCACCATCAATTGTTGAAATGCTTAAACCAGCTGATGTGAATAAAATGCTTGCTAAACAAGATAATCCAGTAAATATGATACTTGAACAATCAAATTTAGGTCGTGGAAAAAATTGGTTTGTATTAGTTTAATAAATAACAAAATATTGAATATTATTATGTTTCTTTTTTTGGATAAAGGTATGATCCAGTTGAATTACGTGGCCATGATGTTCAAACAATATCATTAAATCTTTGGCATGTTAGTGAAAATGAACGTCATGAAGTAGATAATTCTAGTTATGGACAATTTCATACAGATGATGTATATATTATTCGATGGAGATATAAATTAGTCGCATCAGGTAAATACTACAAAGTAGTTTCTCAAGTGAAGATGAACACTAGTTACCACATTCTTCAAATATTAGCCTATGTCATGTCTCCTATAATATTAATAAGATACTTATTAAACTAACTGAGAGTGAAACTTGAATTTAACAGATCTTTCATTTTTTACAGGTTAATCGATTAGTTGTTAAATAAAATAGTCAAATTATAGAATTTTTCTAGTCTAACTGTGTATCTATTTATTTAAATAGGTTTTCATTCAATAAAAACTGGTCAAGCATCTATGCGAAAAACAGATACTGGTCGAGATCGTGTTGCCTATTGGATATGGCAAGGTATTAATGCAAGTCCTAATGAAAAAGGTCTTTCAGCATTGATGACCGTGTTTTTGGATGAAGAAAAAGGACCACATGTAAGTCAAATCTTTCTTTCTAAGATATAAAAGGAAAAGAATATTACATTTTCTTTTCTTCTTTAGATTCATGTTATACAAGAACATGAAGAAGCAACATTTTTACAATTATTTGATGGAACATTAACAATTCATTTGGGTAAACGTAATCAATCAAATCAAAAGAAAAATAATTGGCATCTTTATGTATTTCTTGGTGAAATTGATGTTGAAAATCATTGGTGGGAATTAAATATTGATACAACAAATTTACGCAGTCGTACATCATTTTTATTGATAAATAATGCAGACAACTTCATGTTACTTTGGCATGGTTGTGGTACAACAGAGGAACAAAAACTATTAGCTCATAAATCAGCAATGAAATTACGTACAAAGTTTGTTAAATCTACATACTATTGACTTAAAAAATTAAATATTATTCTATTTCAGACGTCCAGACGAATTTCATTTTAATAGTGAAAAAGAGTTTATTGAATTTACTGAAATGCAAGAAGGTAATGAAACAAATGTATTTTGGAATGCATTCAATGAACCAGTACATCAACGAAAATATTATTCTTTATTAAATGGTAATGAATTTCATAATTACAGAAAGATAATAAAGAATGTTTTATTTACTGCTTGTTTTTTCTCTCTAGTTCGATCAAATAAAATTTTAACTACAACTATGCGTATATTTCATTTATCAAGTCTTCATGGTCCATTTGTTGCTCAAGAACTTCTCTATCCTCTTCGATCTCCTAAACATATATCAGCATTTCCATTTACTCAAAGTGATCTATATGATCTTCAACAACCAGCATTATGTTTAATTGATGCTGATACTGAATTATATATTTGGCAAGGTTGGAATGATCTATCTGATGATGAAATTGATATACAACTTAATAATGCAAATATGCAAGCTGGTGGTCCAAGAGATATACGTTTTTCAGCTGAACGTCGTTGTGCTTTTCGTACAGCTGTTGAATATTGTAAAAGTAAAATAATTATTTTAATATTTTAATAAGAATTTAACGTCTGCTTTTTTTTCCCTAGCAAAAACTGGTTCATCTACTGTTGATTTACCTTGTTCAATAGTATATGCTGGTTTAGAACCAATTGATTTTATTAATTTATTTCCGAAATGGACAATTAATATGAAAGCTAAACAACAAAATCAATTAGTTAGTTGTATTTATTGAATATTCTTTGATAAAAAAAAATATTTATTTATAGGAAGGCAAAAATTTAAATCAAAAAGATTCAGTTCCAGATATGCTTAAAGATTTATGTCGTGAACAGTATACAGTTGAAGAACTACGGGCTCGTCCATTACCAGAAGGTTTTAGATTTGTTTATATTTTTCAATAAATATTGTTTTTTTTATATTTTAAAGGTGTTGATCCATCAAAAATTGAATTTTATCTTTCGGATGATGATTTTCAAGTATAATTAATTAATTTCTTTTTGTTTGTCTTATTTAAATTAAATTTTATTTTATTTTTTTCAGAAAGAATTTCATATGACAAAAGATGAATATTATGCGTTACCTTATTGGAAACAAACAAATATTAAAAAACCACTTGGTTTCTTTTAAATCAGATTTATGAAATATCTTTACCTTCTGTTATCCAATCTCAAACAACGTGCCATTACTGTTAATATGTCACTAAACATTTCTTTTTTTATATTATTTTCTTCACCAGATAACTTCATTCAAAAACAACAACGAAATCTATGTTTTTTTTTGTCTATCTTTCTTGGCGAATGATCATATATATATATATGTGTACCTGTGTGTATTGTCTGTTATATATACAATTTTTTTTGTTCAATTGTTAAAGCTGTTCTTTCTTTTTTTTTGTTCAACTCCTTATACCGTCTCTATACGTCATACACATATCTTCATCCTTCTTTTTTTTTGTTTGTTTGTTTGTTTTACATCTATTTTTTCACTCGGCTATTTGTGTTTGAGGATGGTCTTCTTTACACAACAAACAATAAGAGTTCAGTTTTCTTTTTTTTTCTATTTTTACGTATGTGAAACTAAGATGAGATATAATAAACAAAATATCTACGGAAATGTATATAAGAATTTCCAAAAGAAGAGTTTATATAATTATTTCGGTAATATATATTGAATCTGAAAGATTTTATGTCGAAGTCAGTTATAATTTAAATCACTGAATCCATATTTAAGGCAATGAGTATTTTAAATTTTACAAAATCTTTATCTATTGCCCTATAACCCTTTTTTCTATTTTTATGACAATCAGATAAGGCTATATTATTGATAAAGACAAAGTAAAGCAATTTGATCTTAATATTAACGGAAAATCGAACACATTTCATTTTTTTCAGCCGTATTTCAACCCAGGACTAATAAAATATTTGTTATTGACGTAGTAATAAAAATAATTTTAGCTTTTGGGCTTACCTGTATACTATAGAATTTCGAGAGAGTGATTCATAAAAAGGAAAAATATGCTCTGTTTCTTCTCTTCTCAAGGTTACAACAAATATTAAAGTATTACTAACGAAAAAAAGAGAGAGTAATACTATAAATTATAAAAACAAGCATATGTAAAAATCATTATTGATAGAAATCGTAAGAATAAAAATGCGAATTATTTTCAGCATTGTATTCTTATTAGTTGTATTAGCTATAAATATTTCTGCTGTTCGATTTGGTTCATTTAATTTACAACAATATGGACCTAAGAAATCAGCCAATGAAACATTAACAGATCTTGTTGCTAAAATTTTAAATGATTTTGATGTTGCAGTTATTCAAGAAATTACTGATGCAGCAATTAAAGCTCCATATGTTTTATTTGATGCATTGAATAAAATATCGAAATCAAAACCATATACAATGACATTAAGTGAACGTGTTGGACGTACATCAACAAAAGAACAATATATATTTTTCAATCGTGAATCAACATCAGGTGTTAAATTAATTGACTATTATCTTTATAATGATGTTCAAGATTATTTTGAACGACCACCGTAAGAAATGAATTGATTCATCTTTTTTTATTCTTTTTCATATAAATTTTTAGTTTTATTGGTACATTCGAAGTGACAAAGCCAGGTTCATCTGGTGTGAGATATTTTACTATTATGGATGTTCATTTACGACCTGATTCAGCCTATCAAGAATTACTTGATATGCGTCGTGTTATACATGATTTTATTCTTAAGAATCCTCGTTATTTTACTGATACATCAACATCATTATCTCAAGCTTTAGCAGCGAATGTTATTGGTGCAACAAGTACTAATAAACCAAATTTAAAAACCAATCATCCAATTTTAATTATGGGTGATTTTAATGCTGATTGTACCTATATTTCACTAACACGTCAAGGAACACTTCGGTTAGTTACAATATAATTTTTGTTCTATTTCAAAGATATTCTTTTTCTTTAGTTCAATTGATTTTGCTGATTTTACTTGGGTGATTAATAATGAAGTGAAAACAAATACACGACAAACATGTACATACGATCGTATTTTTATTAATGGAGATAAATTCGTTAAAGCAATTGTACCGAGAAGTAATACAACAGTTGATTTTCCACAACGATTTGGTATGACAATGGAACAAGCTCTTGGTATAAGTGATCATCTTCCAATTAAATTTGACATAAATTTCTGATTTAACAAAACAAAAAAAAGATGTTTTTCTTTTTCAAAGGAAATGATAATGAGTAAAATGCAGTAATGAAGTACATATATTTTGTTCGTAAATTTAACAAAATGACATATATATATATATTAGTATTCTATTCTCTTAATGATACAAACAAAATAACATTTAAGATCATCATTCAATTTCTTCATATTTTAATCACACATACATACATACGAGCTGGAATTTATATAAGACAAATTTAAAAAAAAAGAAAAACACATATTTGATTATTAGGAGAAGTCAGTAAAGGAAAACATAGAAAAAAAAGGACTACAATTATCGACACGATATAAAAAGAAATATATATGAATATACATATTGTTATTATAATTGTCAATAGTATTGATGATGATTATGAATAGTTGTTTGTTTATGAAGTTTTGGTTTTTTTGGCTGGACGACCATTTGTTTTACTACCTGATGATGGAGCTTTATTAGCTGGACGACCTTTTCTTGCTTGTTTAGCTGGTGGTTCATCTATATATAGAAAATCAATGAATATTGAATAGTATTCGATAGTATTAGACTAACCATCTTCAGAATTAACTTCAGCTTCTGCACTATCATTATCATTTGTTCGATCTTCAAATGGATCATCTTCAGCACTGCGTTTTTTACCAGTTTTCTTGTCTGATGATGGAGCAGATCGTTTTGTTGGTCCTTTCTTTGTTGTTGCATTATTTTGCTTATCATCAGCTGAATTTTCATCTTCAGATAAGCCGAGTTCATCTTCAGCCATTTTATCAGATTCATCATTTTCATGAGCTTTTTCTGGTGAACCAATACCTTTACCTTTACGAGTAGTTGAAGCTTTTTTACTTGATGAAGTTGTTTCACTTTCATCTTTCATTTCTAGAAGAAGAAGAAGAGAAATAGAAGAATTTCTATTGAAAAGAGACAAACTCAAAAAAATTACCATAATCATGATCAACTTCTTGATCGTTATTTTTATTTTTTTGGCCTTGTTTACGAGCTGGTCGACCTCGGCCTCTCTTACTTGGTGATGCATCTTCATTTTCAACATTATCGTCATCACCAGTAGCTACAAAAGATTCCAGTAGAATATATAATACAAATTATCTTTGAAAATTACCAGTATCATTATCAGCTTCTTGATCAGTATTTTTCTTTGTTGTACTTTTATTGGTTTGACCTGCTTTACGGCCTGGTCTACCTTTAGCTTTTTTATTTGGTGATTGGCCGTCACTTTCAGTATTATCTTCACCAGTAACTAGAAATATTAAAATGAATTTTCAACAGTATTTTATCGTTATTAATTACCATTTTCAGCTTCTTGATCGGTATCTTTTTTTGATGCTGTTGTTTTTGCACCTTGTTTACGAGCAGGTCGACCTCGACCTCGCTTATTTGGTGATTTTTCTTCATTTTCATTATCATCATCTTCACCAGTACCTATAAAGATAAATGAAATCTTTTTCTTTCTAGTTCATATTGTTCTGTTACCAGTTTCATTGTCGATTTCTTGATTATTATTCTTATTTTTTTCATTTGATTTATTTTTAGCCATTTTACTTGGTGAAGCATTTTTATTTTCAGTATCATTTTCATCATCACCAGTAACTAAAAAAAACATTGATTAATTAAATATTCTTTGTAAATAATGACTATGTTTACCTTCTTGATCACTTTTTGTATTTTTATTAGTTTGACCAGGCTTGCGACCACGTTTACCCTTGGCCTTGTCCGTTGATGATGATGCAGCTTCATTGTCATTATTATCATCATCGCCAGTACCTGCGAAAATCAAATAAAATATTCATTAAATATTAATTATAATCATTACCAGTTTCATTATCAGCTTCTTGACTATTAGTTTTGCTTTTTGGAGCTGGTTTACGGCCAGGTCTACCTTTTGCTTTCTTGTTGGGTGATGTACCTTCATTTTCAGTATTATCATCACCGGTTTCTTTTTGTTCGGTATCATCATTTGTTGTCTTTTTTTGTGCAGCACCTTTACGTTTATTAGAAGTAGATTTGCTTTCATCTTCTTCTGTATTATCTATTTAATAACAAGAAATTTTTTTGTGTTAAATATATATATTTAATTACCTTCTCCTTCGTCTTGTTCAGACGTCATTTTAGGTGATTGGTGTTTGCCACTTCGAGGATCAGTTGGTTTCGATGATGTTTTATTTTCGATATCTTTTTCTAATAATTCTTCAATGATACGAGAATTTTTATTTGCATGTTCAAGAAACTAAAATTTCATTGATATATAATTATAGAAAAGACATGATATAAAATTCTTTTTACATCAGCTGCTTCTTCTTGAAGTACTTCAACTTCAGATTTTCGAATTGGTTCAGCAGCCGTATTATTCTATATAATAAAGATAAGAAATTACTTATGAATAAAAATAGATCAAAAAGAACACTAACATCAGAAGCATCTTTTTTTGAATCTGAATGTTCATTATTTTCATTTTGATCTTGATTTTCTTCATCTTGATCTCTCTATAAATAATATTGTACAATAGAATAAATAAATATTCATTCAAAGAAAAAAAATACTAACTAATCGCATATGTTTTGTATCCATATCAGTTTCATTTGAAGCTGTTGTTGATGCTTTAGAATTTGTTCCTTTTTTGAATACCATTTCTATAATAAGATATATATAAATAAATTATGAAAATTTTGTGTGCATTACTTTTAGTCGATCTTTTCAATTAGAACTAATGTTATAAAATGATCGACGAGAAAGAAGAATCGAGAATCTAGAAGAAAGGATATATATAGATAGATATAGATATTCAAATAGAACAAAGACATAACAAATAGATCACCTAGTAAATTTATACTATTGTAGTCCGACGGTTTTCTTTTTAAATAACAAAGAACAAGGATTTTAAATTAAATTTTATTTTAAAAATAAATTCAATACACTCGTTTGAAGTCACTTAATTTAAAAACCGCGAACATACTTTATGTTTTTCTTTTTATTCATTTCAATCGTTCAACACACTTGTGCACTATTTAAATGTCTATACCAATGGAAAGAGGATCACTAAGACAACCGAAAGAGAATGTACATGATGAATTTTTTTTCTCCATCCGTTCAACGTTCAATTGCATGGCTGATGTGAATGATATTCAAATATCGGATGAACTGAAGTATGAAATAAGCCATAGAAATGAACATCGATCCATATTTTTGAACACTGATGAACTTCGATTTCAAAATCGTGAACAATTAATTGAAAAACTTGAACGAGTTATTCAAGAAAAAAATGCTTCAATTAATAAACTTGAAGAACGGTTAAATAGAATTATTAATATTTATATATTTTATACATATTCTATTGTAGTGAACAATCTTTAGCTGATACATTAAAAAAACGTAATGCTGAATTTCATATAATTGAAGAAAAATTACAAGAATTTCGAGAGAAGGTGATTTATTTGATTTCTTCTAAGAAAAAAAAGAAAATAAAATTATTTTTAGACATGTACATTTGAACAATTACATCAATTACAAGTACAAACATTTGAAAAAACAATACGTGATTGTCAAAATGAAAATGAACGTAAGAAATTTTCATTATTTTAGGAATTATAATATATATTAAATCTTAGGTTTATCTGAACAAATTCGTGATTTAAAAAAAGAATTAAGTGACAAAACAAATTTTGATGCAATCAATCAAGAAAAAATTCTAGTGAATTTAATTTCTTCTTAATATTCATTGTATCTATTTTGATGTTGTTAGACATTTGATCGTATTACTGCTGATATTCAACTTTGGAGACAAAAACTTGATTCATATAAAGCAACAATTGAAGAACGAGAAGAAACTATTGCTACTCTTAAGTAACTATTTTTGTCGATAGGATTTATTGAAATATTTTTCTCATATTTATATAGAAATGAAAATAATGATTTCAATAAAAAGAAACAAACTAGTAAGTATAGTTTAATTATTTTTACAAAAAACATATTTTTACTTCGAATTTAGATGGTACTTTCGAAGATAATTCATTACGATTACAAATCTTAAATCTGCAAAATGTATGTTTTATATCAAGGAGATTTGTTTATATACAAATTTGCTTTTCTAGGTAGTACGAGATCGTGATAAGGAAATTGAAAATTTAAAAACAACACTTCGTCGTGTTCGAGATACATTACAACCAGTAAGTTTAATTATTTCATATGATAATATTAGAAACAAATCTTTTTCTAGGATCATCTATCTCATGAAAGTCGTTGGCAAAGTTGTAGTGAAAATATTGGACATAATCGATCTTCATCTGTTTCTGATTTATCTTCTTCAAGAGAAGTCGAATTATTAAAGCAGAAATTGAATTCATTAACTGATCGTTATAATGATCTTCAAAAATTGCTTGTTAAACGTGATGATCAAATAGTAACCTTTAAAAAAGTTCATGATAAACGTTGGTTACGTTTAAAACATTTACAAAAACAATATCGTTCACTTAAAGATGAATTACAATCTTATACAGATGATGAAATTATACAAAATAATACGAAAGAAGATTTTTCTTATCGAAAAGCTATACAGAAAACAAAAAATAGTTGTTCGGTATGTAATGATCAACGATGGAAAAAAACACCAAATGGATTAAATAAAAAAACACTTAAACAAGAAGATGATGATCATGTTTGGAATGAAATAACCAAGTTTAAACGTGAAAATGCAAGATTAACTAATGAAAAGTAAATATTATTTATGTGAATATGATCTATAACTAATTGTATCTTATTTAGTTTAAGTTTAAATGAAAAAATTGATTTACAAGAAGTCGAAATAAATGAACAATTAATTGTTATTGATGAACTTCGTCATGAATTACGACGATTAAATGATAAAGATGATCAACCACGATCAGCACCAATAGCAATAACAAATAATGAACAAAAACAACTTATCGAAGAGCTTGATAAAAAATTATATGAACTTGAAACTGAACGAACATGTTTAATATTTGAACATGAACGTTTAAAAACAGATTTTGATTTATGTGTGGATGAAAAACAACGATTAATTCAACAAAAAACACAAATAAATAATGATTTAAAACAATCTAAACTTCGAATTTTAGCATTACAAGATCAAATATATAAATTAAAACGAAATAATAAAAAAGAGGTTATTATTACTACACCAATATTAACAAGAAATAGGCGAATAATAAAGAAAAAACCGAAAAAACCTATTATTAATAAAACATGTTTAGAATTATTACTTGATCAAACTTCATCATTTATCGATGATTATCAAAATGAATCATTTATATCTAATAAACAACGACGACGAAGACGACATCGTTCATGTAGTCTTTGTAATTATGAAAATGACAGTTCATTTATTAAACATAAAAAACGATTATCAATACCTATAAGAAGATGTCTGTTATTCAAAGTTTTTATTTTATTCTATTAAATATATTTTTATTCTTTTCAGGTGGACCATTAAAAAGAACTTTAATAACTAAAAATCGTCTTAATAATTCAAATTCTACTCGAAAATCCTCTACTTCTCCATTCATAAATCAGTCTTCATCATTACGAAAACGTATAGAACAATTAGAGAATAATCTTTCAAATGCTCAAGAAGAAAATCGACATCTTAATCAACGTTTAATAACAACATTAAGTCGAATTAATATTCTTAAAACAACAAATCAAGTTTATACTTTTCAATTTTATCTAAATTATTTATTTTTTTCAAAATTTTCTAGAAACTTATTGGTGAATGTGATAAATTTAAAAATAATCATTTAAATCAATCAACATCAGTCAATCATGATTCTATAAGTACTGATAGTATGGATAATTTATATGAACGTCTTAAAAATACTTCATATGATGCGTCTCAACAACGTAAATTAAATAAAACATTACAATCAGAAAATGAACTATTGAATAAAAATCTACAATCACTAACTGACAAGTAATATTTATAGATAACGAATAATTATAAATTTATATTTATATTTAGGTTAACACATACAGAACGTGATATCGCTAGTAAACGATTATTGATTGATACTTATAGAACTCGTTTAAATGAAATGGAAATAAATGTTAATCGTTCAAATGAAAAAAATACGAATGACGTATGAATTCATAGTTTTTAGAAATTCAATCTATTTTGTTTGCTTTTCTTGAAAATAGAATGATGAAGAACGAATTAAATCATTAACTGATACAATAGAAAAATTACGAACATCTGTATATAATTCAATGAGCTTAAAAATATGCATATATATGTTTCTTTTTTATTCAGATTGATTCATATAAAAATCGTTTACAAGCAATTACACGCGAAAAACATGATTTTGATACACGAAATACTCAACTTATTGACGAACATCAAAAATTAGTAAAAATATTCTATTGATTAGTTTTTTTGTTCTCTAAATTAAAACATTTAATTGTAATAGAAAGTACGTTTTGAAGATATTCAATCAAAATTTCGTTTAAATGATCAACAACTTCGACAGATTCGTCTACAAAATGAACAATTAAATCAAGAATTAATAACATGTCGTCGTCTGTCTGAACAACAATTATTAACATTGAATACAAAAAGTCAAGAATCATTAAAAAAGATAACATCAGAATCAGATCGAACAGTTCAACGTTCAAATGAATATGAAAAATTTATCAAAGTAAATTTTTGTCTATATTGAATTTTTAAACTTTTCTAATTTAGGAACTTCTCAATGAATTAATTCAACGAAATATACAAATGAATGATAGTTTAAAGAAAGCACGTGAACATCAAAAACAACGTGAATCATTATCATTAACATTACCAGGTTATGATACAGCAATGAATACAGCAAGTAAAATATTAAATTTAACTCAAGATGATCTCGATGAACTTATGTCAGTAACCGATGAAAGTTTTCAAGTATGAATTATTTTTTATATAGTATTTAATTTGAGATTTTGTTTTTATTTAAGGCAAACATAAAAGAAGATAATGTCGATAAAAATGAAAAAATTCGACAAAAAGTAACGAAATTATTTGTTTCACAAGAAGAAGTATCAAATAAACTTTTGAAAATATTCAATAAAAAATTTGATGAAATACAAGCAGTTAATCGTGAATTAGCAATCATTCGAATTACATAATTTTGTCTATGAATAGTATTATGAAATTTTTGTTGTGCAAAAGAGGGGTAGATTTGTTCATTTTTGTTTTTTTTATATTCACGGATTTTCGTGCTTTTATAATCTTCATTAGCTTATATGTATGTGCCTTTGTGTTTAATACAATATATGATGAATAAACTAATTGTATACAATTTATAAAAATCATTTCTTTTTCCGTTAGTTTTAATTGATAATCGTTCGATTTCAAGATTATTCTATGATAACAAACAAAATAAAACATAAACATACATATTTTATTCTAAATGTCATTGTGATATCGTTATCTCAAGATTTTCTTATCTGCACCTCGACTATTACGAGTTTTTGCTCCTTATATAAATCTTTTTTATTCTCGTTCTTCAAACCATTCTTAATTATAAGGTGTTGTAATGTGGTCAATACATGTTGCGACGCTTGTCTACATGATTATAGTCAGTGAAACACTTCTAGCAAAACATCATTCTTCGAGTACCACTCGTGTAGGAGTATCGACGAGCATTCCAGATACTAAATACGAACAGGTCATTGCTCAACGTTATTTATTTGCACCATTTGCTAATGAATCAACTGCCTGGCCCGTACTGACGAATATAAACAATGTATGGCAAGCTGTTGCATTGCCACACTATCATTCACAAGCAACCGAAGGAGTTTGGTTATTGACTAAGACTATGACTAATGTATATCAGACTAACTCAGCTACTGCACAATTTCAAATAGTCTGGATGCCTTTATCTGCTAACAATACTTGGATAGTTTTATCGAATATTGACGCTGATAGTTTATTGATCATCTCGCATAATGAAATTACGGCTACGATTTACACAGCTGCACTCATCTCGTCAGATCGTATACAATTAATATTATGCAATCGATCGGATGCGACTTCTTGTAGAATTATAAAAATCATTCCTTTTCCATCTCTATTGGCGAATATTTCGAAAATTACAGGTGGTTTATTTATAGACGATATAGGAGCAAGTGGATGGTTGTATATTGCTACTGATATAGGACTACATGGATTGGATCTTTCTACATTCATTATTTTTCCTTATATCAATGGTATTAATATATCCGTCTCTTCTTTAGCAAGGAGTTCAAGCCGCCAGACAATTTTTGTTGGTACAGACACGAAACTCTGGATTCATTCATATGGTATTGGCAATGAAGAATGGCGTTTTGAACACATTACTGGACTTATTGATGCTCCAATTACATCATTAGTGTATAATAATGTACAAGATCAGTTATGGATAGGACAGGAAACTGGAATTACTCTTCTGTTACCAGTTGTTATGTCCACTGGACGAATTCATTGGTTTTTTTCTAGATTAGCAGGACAAATATCTAATCCAGGATCCTATATTGGACATTTGCCATTTGCTAATATCACTACACTTGCTGTAAGCCATCATTCGTCATCGCCAGATAGTCGAGTTTGGTTGGGTAGTAAACGTGGAGTTATGCGTTTTGATTCTAACTCTACTGACGTAGACTCCTGGCGTGTGTTTAATAGTGCAAGATATATGCCAAATCGTGATTCGTTAGTCGATGTATTATCATTGACTGTTATGAGTCGTACTAAGAGTATGCCCATTACTCTAGGTAGTACTGCAGTAGCAGTCACAAGCAAAGGTTTGGCTGTTCTTCGTTTTGAAATGTGGACATTAGCAGATAAGGCCAAACATTTTCAAGGATTCTTCAATCAATCTGGTCGCCATGATAAATATAATCTAGTATCCACCTGCGATATGTCATCATGGGGAGATATTCATACTTGTGTCAAGGGACCAGATGACAATGATGGCCTTTGGACTTCGATGTATTTAAGTAGTCAAGTTTTTCGTTATATGGTAACTAAAGATCCAGCTGTCAAAGCATCTGCATGGAAACATTTTGAAGCATTGGAACTACTCAATCAAGTGACAGGTAATCCAATCTTTTAAAATATATTGATTATTCTCTTACTATCTTTCATAGGTATTTCTGGTTATCCTGGTCGTTCTTTCGCTAAACGTAGTGATTTTCCACCTGATCCTGATTGGCATTTATCTCCTGTTTACACGACTCTTCAATTCAAAGGCGATACATCATCTGATGAAATTGTTGGACATGAACATATTTATCCACTAGTACATGATTTTCTAGCTAGTAATGATAGTGAACGTCAACGAGCTTACATCTTGTTCTTCAATATTACAAATCATATTTTGACTCATGATTGGTATTTAGTCGGTGAAAATCATACACATACATCGTGGGGAATCTGGAATCCAGTTGATGTAAATGATAATAGTGACTTTCAGGATGATCGAGGATTGAATAGCCTTGAAATTCTTACGTATTTACTTCAAACGTATGCCTACAGTGGTGAAGAACGTTTTCTCGATGGTGCGAAACTTCTTATCGAATCCTATCAATATGATGTTAATATTATCAATCGAAAAATGATTGCTGTTTGTGACGATGATCCCTCGGATGATGAACTAACCTATTTGACCTATTTTAATTTAATCTATACAATCAATAAAATTACTTCTACAACTAAGTTATCTACAAGACAGAAAGCACGTGTACAGTTACTTACCGATAAACTTTTGGAGTACATGATAGTTGGATTAGACCTAACGCATAAGTACAAACAAATGGAGAAATCACCATTCTACAATTTTATCTATTGTTATGTCACCGGTCAAGTAAATGAAACTTGGCATCTATTCAATCGCAACCATCAAATTTCTCCTGGCTTCAACTGTAATTCTTTGTCACAAGATGGTATATGGTATATGCAACGTTGGCCATTGGAACTAATCAATTGGCCACAATTTAATAGTGATCGTTTAGATATACAATTGAATATACCAGGTGAATGTGGAGGAAGCCCTCAGTCATTGCAAATGTTACCTCCAGACGAACGATCTATTAAGAAATGGAACTACGGCGTCTATGAGTTGGATGATGGCAATGGGTTTAGAGAGGAAGATCCAACTGCGTATCTGATTAGTTATTGGGGAATGCGTTATTTCAACTTGTTAGGCGAATAAAAACATTACTAATCACATCAATATCGTTCTTGTCTATTTTTAAACTAGCTTTTTAATTGATCACTACCGTTTCATCAACATAAACTACCTAAGAGTGGGTGTGAATAAAATCGAATAACAATAGAAGAAGAACTGTCAGTTTAGATGATAATTATGTAACTTTCAATAGATAAGTCAAGTAGTTGAAGAGAATCTTCTATGACGCAAAGGAAATTAAAATTGCCTTTTCTTTTTCCATCGGACATATTACGTATTTACTTAATCAACTATTAATATCATAGCCGGCAACGTATATTCAATATTTATGAGTTAACGGATTCTTTATATTCCTTTGATAGTATTTTAAACTTTTAATTTACTATCATTAGACCTGAAGCTATAAAAAGAAGCTTGTTATAAAAGCTCAACGTAAGTTTCACTCAAAAAACTTGTTATAGACAAGAGGTATGCATTTTTTTTCTATAAAAAGTGATTATGTAAAATAATTCTTTTATAGAATGTCTTCAAATGATACTAGTATTCGTCAACTTCAACTAGCTACTCAATATATCGCAATTGCTATAGGTTTTCCTATTCTGATCGCTGGAATTATTGGTAATTTTTTAAATATTTTAGTTTTTCTCACCTTGGGAAATTATAAAACTAATGCTAGCTCATTTTATATGCTTGCAAAATCAATTTTTGATTTAAGTGCACTTATATTTGGTCTCATTGGTCATATTCTCATTCAAGGTTTTCGTTCAAGTGCATTGACAAGTGAAACTTGGTGTCGAATACGTATTCCATTATTATATATCAGTTCACTTTCATCTTATACTTGTCTCTGTTTACAATCGATTGATTCATTTTTATGTTCTTCACGCAATGCTGTTTTACGTCAACAGAGCACTGTTCAGCGAGGCAGATATTTAATTCTTGGTTTTTTATTACTATGGTTTTGTAATGAGTGTCCATATTATTTCATGCAACAATTATCTATTATACCTAATTGGAGATGTCAAACAACAAATACACTCTATGCTCAATATCGTAGTTATTTTACTATTCTAACATTATCAGTGATTGCTCCAATAGTAATAACTAGTTTGTTTGGATACCTTTCATATCGAAATCTGCATCTATCGAATTTAAATAGACAACCAACAGTTTCGAATTTTAGTAGACAAATGATCAGTATGACTTTATTGGCAATTCTTATTGTCATTCTATTTCAATTGCCATATGCAATTGCACAAATGTATTTTACAGCAACAGCAAATTATTCAAAGAGTATTTATCGTCAAACACAAGAACAATTAGCCAATGTTTTCTTCTTTATTTATACTTACAATGCTAGTGTGGTAAGATTTATTGATCTATTGATATTACATTATTTTTTCTTTGTTTTTTTTTGCAGAGTTCTTTCTATGCTTATTGTATAGCTTCACAGCGATTTCGACAACAAATCGTACAAGTACTGAAACAGTTGAAAACAATTTTTCAAAGAAGAAATCAAGTCTTACCATTTACTGAAACTGGTCGTTCAGCGACGCAAAAAAAGACAACTCAATTATAAAATGAACTTTTAAATTATTTTTATTAAGTTTTTCTTCGTTCGTAATTTAATAAAATTTGAATTATCAATTATATAAATATTCTCATAAGAAAAATAATACTAAGAATAAATTAAAAAAAAGAAAAAGAGTATTATTCTTTTTTAGTTTAGACATATATAGATGGTGTATTCAAGCGATTATACAGAGAATTAGTAAGGTTTTCAGTCGCGAATGTCAGGTGGGTGTGGGTGTGAAAATGATATAAATAAGATACACATACCTTCAAGATCAATGTCTAACGCTTACCAAACAACAAAATACTCAAACTATAGACTTTCTGTGAGATTTGTGAGTGTGGGTCTGTGTAAATAAATCATAATCTCACATCCACATCTTCAAAGTTGTATGAAAAAAAATATCTTGATTGTGCTCAATACGGCAGAATGTAGTACGCGCTATCATGCAGGTTATTCATTTGACGTACAGAGCAAACCATCAGAACAAATCAATAGGGATTTACTTATACAGCCTTTCTAGAGTTTATCCCGGTGTATCTTTTCAGAAAAAAATCAAGGTCTTATCAATTACTAAAGCTGAATATGTTACAAACACTTTGAGACATCGTGGAAAATTGCTTTTTTTGTCATCGAGTCATCACACTACTTTTGGCATGCCCTAAGTATCATAAAAGAATAGAAAATGTTTTAGTTTGACAAGTTTATAATACAGTTAGGATCATATTACACAATAAATTTGATTTTAATCAAAGAAATTTTGAACAAATGTTTGCAATTCATCTCGTGCAGATTTAAATGTCATAGAAATTAAGTTTTTATTTTCTAAACAACAGTAAGATTCTGAGATTATTTTATGATCAATCCTATGTCTTTTAATCTATTCAAAATTGTAAATGATAAAGAGATTCGTACTTTTTTACCTGTGGTTAATTTTGTTGTCTCTTTAAACAAAATATATATGAATAAGGTAATGTTTTCTGTTTATATTTATATGATCAGAGATTAGATGAAGAATGATAAAAAAAACAGGAGGTATACCTCTTTTTAGTTTCTTTTGATATTATATTTAGTCATGTAAATATTCGTCATTGCACAATACATAAAAATAATTGCATTTGATTAGACATATTATAAGAGAAAATATAGATTCGAACTTTTACAGATTTTAAATCCAAACAAAGATTTTTTTGAGCATCTTAAACGTTTTGCTCTGTCTATCAAAGGCCCTAAAGATCTAAGCGTAACATTTTTTTTTGTAAACTTTCGTTGTTTATCTCTTATTTTCGTCAGTGTGTTGTAATTTATGAATAAGATTGGTTGCAGGACACGATTGCTTGTGTCTTGCACAAGACGATGAAAAAAAAGAAAATTACCTATATGGACGTACAGATTGCACAATGTTTTTCATGCGGTAATATACATTCAATTAGTACATGGTTGAGCAATAACAGCTAGGAAAATATCGAAGTCTGACCGTTTAAATACCACGTCTTGTTTGTATTTTGCATCAGTATCTTTCTCAATTGGGAAGATGAGTATAACGATCAAACCACAAAATCCAAAGCTTGCTGCAACGAAGCGCATTATGAGGTATGTTGATGTATATATTATTTGACCTTGTTTATATTTAATATTATTAGAGATTTGAGAGATCTCGATAAAACTCCAGTACCTGGATTAGGAGTTTGTTGTCCTGATGAATCAAATCCATTTGTTTTACATTGTAATGTATGTATCTAAGAGACAACTCTATTTACAGACAAACATCACTGTGTGTTGTTGTTTAGGTATTGATCAATGATGGACCTTATAGTGGCATATTGATTCATTTAGTGCTTCACATTCCCGATGATTATCCATTAACTGGTCCCGCAGGAAATATTGCGCCCGGATTAGAGTTTAATTCTATGCATCATGGTCATATTCATGAAGATTATATGTATAATTATATTTTAGTAAATATTTTAATTTAATTCATGTGCTTTTAGAAATGGACATGCTTTGTGCAATGATATGTTAACAAATTATTCACACTATTTTAGTCATATTGATCAAGGTCGTATGAAACAAAGCAGCGGTTGGAGGTAATTTAATAATGTTTAATTGTATCGTCTGTGTTATTCATTTCCTATCGATTTACTTAATTTAGTCCCGGATATACTTTATCCACTGCACTCCTTCAAATCATCACATTTTTCTCAGATCCTGATCTTTCCAAAGAACCATCTGCAGAAATCATTGCCGATCTTCGTCGTACTGTGGAAAACTTTACTTGTAGCACATGTGGTCATTGTAATATTAAACCAAATCCATCTGTAGTTCCCTATGTTGAAACGATGTCAGATGAAAAAGTAAGACAAGAAGAAGAAAAAGAAGCACAATTAAAATTGGAATGTGATTTAAAAGAAAAATTAACATGTGGTATAACAAAACAAAATGTCTTGGATGATAAAATTTGTCTTGGATATCCATTGATGGTGGTACGTGATCATCGTGGCCGTTTTGATCCTGAAATCGTCTTGGAACTTATATCTTATGATGCATATGTAGCCGAAATACAAAAATCGGGTGGAGAGAAATTAGATTTCTATGAAAAGTTAAAATTTCGTTCAGTTACTGGATCGGATTACAATCATTGGTTACCTATTTATATTAATCCAACTCATTTTCAACAAGGACGACAAATCATTGAAAATAGTATTAGCATTATCGCTAACGGTACTGCATCTGGCGCTGAGAAATATGCTTTCCAACCATTGATGGCATTAAATGTATTGATTACATTACTAAATAAATGTGCAGTCCGATTGTTCAATGGTCAATTGTTTCAATCAACACACGCAATAGAAGCGTACTGTCATTTTCTACGTTTATTAATGCATTTCATTGAAATATTCCCGGAATTAGGTTGGAGAAAGATTTCAATTTATTTATTTGTTAATATAGCATCTTTTTTTTTTCTTACAGACACTCATATCAATCTTACTGTAGAGAAATTCGTATCAAAATTTCATCATCGTCACAAAAAAGTCGTACCTGATATTGGTGAATTTTTGATAAAAGTTGCGTTATCGACCAAATACGAACTTAAGAATATCAAAGAATGTATTTATGAAGAATATTTCGCTCGACAAATCTATTGGCTTCAGCAGACGTATGCTTCTGGAAACATATCCAATATTCGTGTCGAAGATTTGCCAACCATATTTCAAAGAACTAAAATATCAAATCATCTATTGGTATTCAATTTTGAAATGGCTGAAACATTCATTTTTGACGGTGTGAAAGAGTAAGGATCTTATAATTTTTATTACTTTTTTTAATTGAATTTCGTTCTTTTTGAAGAAAATTAGATAAATTACATGGTTATCCTCCGACAGCTGTTGTAGAAAAGTTTCAACAACGTTTAAAAGCCATCAAAGCCATTGATCGATACAGTGTATTCATGCAGGCTATACGGATGAGTGATAAAATCAAAACGCCGGATAATATGTTTGCTATGATAAAACGGTCGATTCGAATTTCAAATGAACAACATTATACAAATGTAGAATTAAGTTCTCGATAAACTAAATTAAACATGAAAACATTGTAGTAGAAATAAACCTCTTCATTCATGAACTTTCTTTTGATCATTGAAATCATCAATCCAAATATGCAATCGAAAAATACAGAATATCATTAGTATTCTCAATGCGTTCAAAAAGAAAACTTTTGTTTAATTTAGACGAATTATTTTGTAATCATTCATGGATATTAATAGGAAAGAATAAATAATAAACTGTTAGATTTAATATATTTGAAAAGAGCAGATCATCATTTATCCTCCCATTCTTCTTAACTTAAAATATCATGTATATATAAGTTGTCAGTTAAATCGATTGTCGAATTATTTCTCATTTCTACGCACTTGATTTTGTTCACTAAAATGTTTAAAAACGACATCACTATTATGTCACACTTATTGTTTGTTAAGTTATTTCTTCTATATTTTGCATCAAAGAATAATCCGAATGAAAGATTATTAAGGTGAAACTGATTTGATTCATAGTGTAGATCTTCTTACTTTTCTACTCTCGATCTATATGATAAATAGGTATGAGTATCGCATATTAAGATTTGACTCATCGATGTTTCATAGAATCTCTCATCAGAATAGTTCAGTATACATCAGTAAGTATTTATAATATAGATCTCAAACGTATTATATCGTTGCTTAAATGATAGATACAGACAAAGTCTTTGTGCTTGAGCTGTATTTTTTTTGATAATAATGGTTTAGTCGACATTTATGATATGTCTTCATTGTATGGAAAGTTATCCTAAAAACATAATAAAATTTGGTCTATTTAGTTAGTTATTATATATATTATCTTGTTTTGTTTTATTAAAAATCCATTTCTTTGCGTATTTACAATGATGTGTCTTTTTTGCCATGAGTTCACAATATGATAATGAGTTTTTTCTTCTTCGTCTTATATAATTTGACATTTTTATAATATTTGGCAGGCAAAAGACTTAAATTAAAAGCTTAGAAAAACAGATAATAAAATCTTGTAAATGAAAAATGGTAAAGAGAATGTCATTTGTGAAGATTTTTTTATAAGTGTGACAGGTTGTTGATCTGCAGTTGAAGACTAAATGCAAATTCTCTCACTCTTTAGTCCAACATTTGTTTTTATTTTTTAGTGAGTATCAAGTACAAATAATAGCTTCAATGGCAGTCTCTCTTATACTTCACTCATGGCTTCTTCTCGTTCCACTCATCCCATCTGTTATCGTTGCTATCTTCAGTCTCTATCATCTTCTGAGTAGTCAAGCACTTCGAACAGCTCTTAACAATCATGTTATTATTCTACTTCTATGTGTTGGTCTTATCTCAAGTGTTACAGATTATGTGTGGACTGGTTATTTTTATCGCACTGGCATTGCTCTATCATCTACACCTACATTTTGTCTCGCTTGGGTGTTTATTAGTGCATCTGGATTGGTAATAGCATATCTTTTGATGGCATGGGCATCGATCGAGCGACATATTCTTATATTTTATTCTACTTGGTTTGCAACAGCAAGAAAGCGCTTTTTCTTTCATTATCTTCCGTTGATTATATGTATTGTTTGGCCTTTAATATTTTGTTGTGTTACATTACTCATTCTACCTTGCAATATTCCGTTCAGCTACAGCAACAAGCAATGTGCTCGTTACTCATGTATTTTTGCCATTGGTTGGATTGCACTAATGGATAGTATTTTTCATTATATACTGCCGACGTTTATTGTGGTTATATTTAGTGTGGTTCTTCTTGTGCGTGTGATTTATCAAAAATATCAGATTCATCAAAGAGTTGAATGGAGAAATTACAAGAGAATGGCATTTCAACTACTACCAATCTCAGCTCTCTATTTTTGTATATCATTTCCAACAATGATTCTATATGCTGCATATTCAGCTGGTGTACCACGAACTGTAGCAGCTGATTATTTTTTGAATAGTATATTTTTGTGTTTCTGGATTATATTATTCACTCTATTTGCAATTGTTCCATCACTTCCTCAATGGCAAACAAAATGCACCAAACTCTTTCTGTTTTGGCGAGCAAAGCGTCGTGTTAATCCAGAAATACCAGTCCCAACTCGTTTAAAAGCCGGACGAACAAATACAGCAACATTCACTCACCAATAATTATTCTTTGACAAACATAACAAAAAAATCACAAATCAGAGAAGTCTAGCGAACTGACGTTTTTTAATATTGAGAAAAGTGTTTAATATTGTTGTTTGTTCGTGATTTACTATTGTGTCATTGATGTAGAGATTATTATAATATTGTTTTCATATATGAATCATTGTTGTTATTTATGAGTGATTGATTGTGTTTTCGATGTTTTGTGTTTCTGAATTTGTTGCTTCCTATATTGTTTAACCTTATTCATGTTTTAATAAAATGAATTGGATCTATCCTGACAAACAGATATAATACGAGTATTTACAAACCAAAACCATCCATCACTTAATAAAAGCGAAAGATAAAGCTTTGCTTCAATTATAATTCACATAGCTCAAGCCAAAATAAATGGTACATGTAGTTTTTGACAATTAGTTATGTAAAAGATGCTATTTATGTCATAAGTAGGGTGTGGGTATGGGTGTGGGTGTGAATGTGAAATAGCACTCACTCTCACCCTCACCCACCCTTTTTCTTCCATAAATAAAACGTATGATAAAACCAATTAAATATGATCATCCTGAGGATCTGAGCGTGGGTGTGTGAATGTCTGATATCGATCAAAAAGCACATCCCTGCGAACTGATGTCGTGTTGTATTGATTACTAACGACACCTAGAAGATGAAAAAGTGAGTTATGAAAAAAGATGGATATACGTCACGTCATTCAACTAATAAGAAATAAAAGTGATGTCTTGATTTCTCTGTATTTATAGAAATATTTAAGTGGCAATGTCTCAAGGAACAGTACTTGTTATTGGAGGTGGAGTTGCTGGTGCACTTACTTCTCTTTTTCTCAAACAAAATGGATTTTCACCGGAACTCTATGAAAGAGTTGCAGCTTTTAATGATGTTGGAGTAGGTATTAATGAACAATAATGTCAAGACTGAATGATTATCTTAAAAATTTAAATTAGTTAAGCAAATAAAGGTAGAGTTTTGACTCATGGAATTGTTTTTAAAGCTTAAGATATACTTTCTTTTGTGCTAAAAATAGGATTAATCTATTTCAAACTCCTTCTTTAGAATAAAAGACTAGTTTATCCTAAGAAAGAACCGATTAAAAAGATCAACTCTGATTGAAATTTCGAAAGATGAATTAAATGACCGTGTCGAAGTTGATCGCTCTAACAGATAATATGATGTAATATTTCATTTATCATAACTTCAAGTATTATTGAACTTTAACGACACAATTCTATTTTTATATAAAATAATGTTCTTGAATAAAGATATGAACTGATACATTTATACTCTAATTCAATCGCCTTTCATCATCCCTAGAAATTTCGTCGAAAGTGTTGAACATGACAAAGTGCTTTTCAAGGATATCTTCTAATAGTTTTATTTCAAGTTGAATTTACTCATTAGATGCTGCTCAGTTAAGCCACTAACTTATTAGAATTCTTTTTAGGGTTCACTCGCATTGGCTCCAAATGGTTTGAAGATTCTATCACAAATACCTGGTTTAGACAAAAAGTTTTTAGACAACGGCGCATCATTCAACTATCTTTCTCATCGAACGTCACATGGTACTATACTGGCCGAGACACCCATCGATATTTACTCATTACGTTTCGGTTACCCTTTGTTAGGCATCAAGCGTACAGTCGTCTTACGTTTATTACATGAAGAACTGAATCGTCAATTAATTCCTATTCATTTTAACAAGTCATTGTGTGCGTTGACTCAGTCGAATGAGCATGTGACTGTTGAATTTCAAGATGGCACGAAAGTCATTGGCAATTATCTTATCGGTTGCGATGGACTTCGTTCAACAGTTCGACAACTTCTGTTTGGTTCAGATCAACCAACGTATACTGGTCTCACTCAAACAATCGGTATCACTGACCACATTCGTCAGTTAGATCGATCGGAAATGCTCAATGTCTATGGTGATGGCGGAACTCACTTCATCACCTATCCATTTAATTCTAAAGAAGCTTGTTTTGCTTGCACATTTCGCGAATCGATCGCTGACACGGAGTCTTGGCGATCATTGAGCACTGAACAGGCTCTAAAGTTCATTCAAGAATGTGGTTTTGCTCGATGGGCATCACCTGTGGACAAATTCATTTCTAACGCATCTCGTTTGATCAAAATTGGTTTGTACGATCGACCAGAACTAAAAACATGGTACAAGGATCGTGTTGTACTAGCCGGTGACGCAGCTCACGCAACCTCACCTCATCTCGGTCAAGGTGCTAATCAAGCCATGGAAGATGCTTACTATCTCGTCAAATTTTGGAAGATAAATATCACTGATCATATGAAAGCATTCGAAGATTATACGCAGTTACGCAAAGAACGAACAAGTCGTCTTGTAACAGCAGCTCGACGTCAGGGTGAAGCAAGAGTATGTATAGAACCAGAAGAATGTCAAAAGAGAAATGAAATGTTAAGCAAAGGCATCAATTTAAATGATATTAGTTGGATTTATGACATACAGTTGTGATGTTTTTTTTTGTTATACTTTTTGCTTATGTAATAAAACATTGAAACAGCACAGTACTTAGTTTTTATCGTAAGGAATTACGAGTTGAAATAGAATGCTTTTCTTTTACATTATTCAAGGACAAACAATACAAACAGTTAATGACAAGCGAAGGTTGAAAATTTTTCTTTCTGTATTTTTAGTTGATTTTTCTTCGAGAAGAGAATTCATATTTCTGTTGTTATAAACATCATTTAGATAAAGACGAACATTTTTTGAGTCGAAAAAAACGGACAAAAATCATTAACTAAATGTGCAGCTTTTGGTGAACAAAAAATAAAAAATATATTCAACTTATTTGTCTTATTATGACGAACAAAATAAATTTCTTTGAAAAGAAGTGACGATTATTCAAAGTTAAAATATTATACTCGTAATTTTTATTTTTATTTCATCACGTGTACATTAAAGAGTGAATTTATGACAACAAATTAAAAGGAATGTTGGCATTGAATTTTTTTAACTGAAAAAGAAAAAGACATTGTACAAATACTCTGACGTTGTTTACGTCCTTGGTCGTAAAGAAAATCAAAGACATAGTCGGCGATTGATTAAGAAGTTTAGTTTAGATTTTTGAAGGTGTAAGTGAGAGTATGAAAATCTCTTCTTCTATCTAATCCTCATACAGACATCCTCAAGATAAACATAAGCAAAAAAGGGAAAAGGAAAAATCTTCGATATGATTAAATTAACTATGACTGGCCTGTGCATACACTATGAAAAGTACGTGAAGCTTTCTCTTCTGCTGATACTATTGTTCATCATCCTTTACTTCTATGCAACATATATCGTTAATTTCAACGAGAGATGTTCGATTGACTCGCGCATCAACTTTGGCAAACAAGGTGATACGATAATATCAGATGGTCTTCAATGGTGTAGAAAAAACCCTTTCATAATCGGTTATAACAAACAGTTAGTATTCGACTTGGAACATAAATACTATTTGTGGAAGCAAGATGAATTTGCACAAACTTTTGATTTCATCAAAAAATACATTTTCTTTCCTAATGAAACAAGGGGAGAATTTCCCAAAGTTCTCTATCCAACCAATGCATTGCTACCATGCCCGTATAATAACAATCAAATGAAACGTTATGGTCGTCAAGATGATACTGGAAAGTTACTCTGTGGCTTAGAAATACTATCTTCAACTGATTCTTGTACGGTATACAGTTTGGGCTCGGGAAATGATTTCAGATTTGAAGAATCAGTTTTGGCACAAACTAAATGCATCGTGCACACTTTCGACTGTACAAGTTTTCCGCCGCGAATAAACTATAATCGGTTACAGTTTCATCGAATTTGTCTAGGAGAAAATTCATCAATGCAACGTTATATCTATCCAGAATCGGGCAAATACTTAGACAACCCACGTTTGGCTATATTGACCTATATGAACTTTGATCAGATCTTGAAGATAAACAATCATAATCAAGTACATGTTCTAAAACTGGATATTGAAGGTGGAGAATATTCTGTATTTAGAGATTTGTTCAAAAATAACACAAGACACAACTTGCCATATCAAATATCCTTTGAATCTCATTGGTGGCACCGAGATATATATCACAGTATGATGCACATCTCCTTATTCTCGCAATTATGGAAGAGTGGCTATCGACTTCTGCAATATGAGATAAATACATATGATCATTCGTGTGTCGAGTGGACTTTTATGCGCATGTTTTGTTAAAGAACATTTTAATCAGATTACCTAAAAGTAACAATATAAATAAATAATGCACCAATTTTGTTTTTATTGAAACTCAATCTTCATAAGGGATGTGGGTGTGGGTGTCGATATAGGATAATAGACTACTCACACCCTTTCATTGCAAAACGAATAAGAAGAAACAGAAAAAAAAACTTTCGTTCTCTTGAGACGTAATAACAAGAGGAAGAAAAAAAAGAATTCACTAAATAGAAGGTCATTTGTGCACATTTTGTAGCGAAGCCATGTGCATAAGAATATTTATCTAATCAAAGATATGCGAGTCACTTGAATACAATGTAAGTTTATTTTCAAGCGAAAGAAAAAAGAAAATTCTTCTCTACCAACTACTTCCGAGTAGGTTTTACTTGTTTTTACACGATGATAATGGGACAACAATTATTTAAAGTAAATTTTCAAAATATTGATTGCAAGGATGCACAGCTCAATTCACTTGAGATTGCAATGGATTATGGTCATGAACATATTCATTTTTTTTCTCCAATTGAAACTGATGAAACAACAACGATTCAACATGAAACATTATTTATTGACAAACATCGTGAGCGTCTTTTTCAATTAACTCATTCGAATGAATTGCAACAAATCGATACAGAAATTAATCGCATTCTTACCGACGACGTTTTTCCTCCTATAAAAGAATATTACGAAAAAACTATCGAAACATTAAAACTAAATTTAGAAAACCAACATCAACTTAATATATCTTTAACAAACAAATTTAAACAAGATGACGATGAGAATGAATCGATTGAAGACGAAACTGAACAAGTTTCTTCGTTTGCCATTCAATCTTTAACATCAATTTTACTTCTTTTAATTAAATCTGCAGAAAAAAACGATTCAACAATTATTCTACAAATCATTACATTAACTTCTCAATTATGTGAACAAATTCCGATACAAAAGTCATCGATATTATCTAATAATAACTTACTATTTCAAGCACTACAACCCGTGAGAGATTTTTTCAATGAATTATTAGTGAGAAATGATCCAATTATGACTAAAGCAGTAATGAAAATTCTACTGAGTTTCTCCATTGCTCAATTTTCCTTCCAGGAAATATTACCTTTATTAGCTCGATTAATATTTGATATCGAAACAATTTACGATGTTCGACGTTTGTTTATTCAAATGAATAAGGTTCTGACAGCATCCATAAAAATGCACGAACAAAACATCGATATCATAACAACTTTCGAAACGATGAACTTCCTAAAGTCAGTTGGAGTTTATCCAACTACACAACTGATGCAATTAAATAAGAAACTGTTTACTGGTCAATTTATTGCTTCAGTAATTCTTTCGTATATCGGTTTTGATCATCAAATTAATTCTAATGAGCAACTGAATCATCATCCAAAGCAAGAACCATTTTCATTCGAATTTCATCAACAAACATTTCAAATTCTATTTGATATAATCAAACAATTAACGTCTGTTTCCAAAGAAAATTCCAATTCTGTTATTTTTTATATATTGACTATTTGTGTAAGGTTATTTGTTACACATCTGAAATATTTATCTGCAATTCATTTGAATCTTCATGGAAAACTATTGCAAACTAATGACAGGATAAGAAAAATTCTTCCACCATTTCATCAAACGAACTTCGATCTTAGTGAATTCGTCAACGAAGAACAATTGACTAGCTGGTTTGAATTATTCTTGAATCTATCTCATGAACAAAATTCAATCTCTGAAGAAGCATCGAAAGCAATTGTTTATCTTCTTCATCTACGAATGTTATCATTTACAGACAAATTATCTTTCATGCATCAATATATCATCGAAAATCAACATCCGATCCTCATTAATCAATTGATGAACGAATTGAATAAAAATGAAACTTTGCTTTGCTGGATCGAAATACTTCGCAATGAGAATAATAACGATCAAACAGAAAGAACTAAAGCATTACATATTTTAGAATCTTTTATCGAAATTTATTTCAATTCATCCGAACAGATAAACAAAGAACAAATCGAAAAAATACTATTATTATTTCAACAACTTCTCATTGGTCAAATGATCCCGCGGATGACTAGTGATGATTCTATTCATGAACCAATTGATGTTCCTAGTTCGGTAGCGATTCAATATCTAACATATTTATTTCGACATTATTCCAGAACGACAGAAAGTACTTTGTTTGATTCTGCTATCGTTGGTTTGTGTTTAATGACGAAGACTGATGAAATGTTCGATTTCATGGCTATTCAGTCTGTCTTTGCTGCTATTTTACCAATATTAGCTGATTCTATGTTACAAAGCGTCACGAAGGAAAATGTGATCTCGAATTATCATGGTCTTCTTTCTTGGTTGATAGGAAAAATGACTTTTGTACTGATTATTGGATCACCATTAGATTCTTCAGAAATCAAACATGGAGAGATAATGCAGTCAAAGATTTTCGATGGTGGATATGAAAAATCAATCTCCGAGAAAAGTATTTACCTATCAAATTTATTCCATTCGAATCTTTCCAATTACAGTCAATTTACATTGCAAAATGACACCGAAGAATCAGCATCAGACAAGGAATTTTTAATGTCTGTCTTTGATAATATTGGTGATGGTGCACGGCTAATCACGAAGATGAACATGTTTCTGAAAGAGAGAAATTATATCTTACAACAATCAATTGAAGAACAAGCCAATGATTTAGTCGCTGCTGTGTATGCAGTATACATCAAACATTTTGATCGGATTAATCTCGCCAAAATGGAAATGTTCGAAACGAATCAACGACATACTCAAAGTCATCTTCTTTCCATCTTTGAATATGCTAATCATGTTCGAACTATATTGAGAACTATCAAAGCCGAAGGTGGTGATTGCGATGAATTCTATCGACAGGTGAAAGCTAATGCATCGTTTCTTCTTTTATCGATCGGAAAACATGATTCTATTCCTTCAAATGTGGAAGAAACGCCACCGCCAGCGATCGACTTGCCACCGCTAAAACCACCTCAATTTCAACGACAAATCTCTCGATGGTCAAAAGCGAAACATGTTTTGAAATTACTTCGTCATCTAATGCAAGCTTGTATTCGATTCAAGAACTTAATGCGCAAGAAACAAGCGCGACAACAACGCGATGATGCAGAAAGTCTTCTCAGGCGAGCTATTGATCAATTTATTTATAAAGAAAAAGATTTGAAATTAGATGAACTAAAAAAATGTCTTGACCGACAACATGAACGAGCGGTAACACGATTGATTACTTATCGATTTATTGATACATTGATGCAAAAAATTGTCCAATTGATCGATCATCCTCAAGTAGCAATGATGCTTACTATTCTTTTACCGCAGTTGAAAGAGTCAACATTGAGTTGGAATTGTTTCACAAACATCGTTGCCGCAAAACTTCAACTCAAAAACGAGATTCGAAACAATTATCATTCTATTCTTCACACAGCTCTACCCTGTTTAATATCATCAGAATCAAAAATGTCCATACAAAATCTCTTCAATTATCTTAATTTCGAGTATTCATCCGCTGGTCTTCTCTCTCTAGTAAAGTATGAATTTCCACAAAAACTTTTTCCATTAATAAATGATTATTCTCTCCGAACAAAATTTCTTGCCTACAATTGGTTTCGATTATTTACTTTGCTATTATGTCAAAATATTCAATGGGATCAAAGTAAAGGAAAATTCCATCCGATCTTAGAAGAACAACGAGACTTCTTATTTCAATCATTTATTCGAAATAAACTTATATTACCTCAAACAAATAAGACAGAAGGTCATGAAAACCCGCCTGATTCATTCAAAGATCTAGCTATAGTTTGGTTTCTCTATGTTCAATTCCCTGATCGTTCAATCAATCAATATTTATTTCTTCTTCTTCATTGTTTACAACTCTACACTCATGTTCGACTCATATGCGCTAATGTACCGTACATTGAACGTTTACTCAATATCTATCATCACAGTGAGTTCAAAGTTACTCGATTACTTGCATTAAAAATTATACGTCAATTGATTTCATATCTTCCGAATTACAATAATGATGGATCGAAAGAGTTGATCGATAAATTTCTCCTCGAAATTCTTCATTCTATTAGTGCGAGTTTTTCTTCTCAACAGCTGGCTGTGGAATTAGTCACTGAATTAATTTACGTGTATCGAATGGTAATGTCTCGTAGATCAGCGTGGCAATTGGTTGCTGCCAACTTCATTTTTAATTCGATTACATCACACCTAAACTTATCATCATTTCACTCAAATGATACACTCGTCGCATCAATATGCATCTTGGGTGGATACATAGATCCTATAGGTTTAAGTTCAATTGTTCAAGTAGCAACTGATCAAGAAACGAACGATGAATCTCGTCTGGCAATGGTCATAGATACAGAATCAGACACCTCATTCTATTTCATTCAGTATCTCAATGAAACTGTGATTGAATTGATTACAATTGATCGACTTCGTGTTGTTGTACAAGTTCCACCACCTCATTTATTATCGTTACCGTTAGTCAAGGTATCGATCGATTCGATTCTCGATGCATTCGGACATTTTCTCCAACTACATTCCACCGCATCTGATTCATTGATATTCTTGCAATTGAAACGTCGTTCTGTCTCAGTTCTTTTCCATCTGTTGCAGGATCATAAGATGGTAGAACTGTTTATGATTCGACCGTACGCGTCGCTTATTGCTCATTTGTCTATGCCAGATCCATTAACGACAGCAATTGATCCTTGTTTCTTCAATAAAGTATTCTTAGAACAATACTCTCTTCGTTTAGATATGTATGAACGATCGAAACAAATGATTGATAATCGTGAAGATGTAATCGATGAACTCGAACAAAACCATATGAGTCACCATTCGATTGTAGCAGCTTTATCAACACCGGTCTCAAAATACAATGGTTGGAAACCATTCGCATCAAAAACAGAAATTGATATGTGGAAACAAGGTCGTATTGGAAGCAATAGAATCAACTTGATTCCGTTGCCAATCACTGCTGCTAGAACACAAGTCTTTGAAAGATGTGGTCAACATCATCAGTACAGAGGACGAATCGTTCTTAAAGAAGAGTATGTCAATGGATCATTCCCGACCTTTATTGTTCAGAACCTTCAAGTGACCGAAGGAAAATGGTATTTTTGTGTTAAACTAAACACGGGTGATCTTGTTCAAATCGGATGGGCAACAAAAGGATTTACGCCACGAATTGATGATGAGAATGGAATCGGTGATGACGAATACTCCTGGTCTTATGATGGTTCACGAGGAATGCTCTTTAATAACGGTATCTTTCGAAAACAATTCAATAATATTCGTTGGCAAAAAGATGATGTGTGTGGTTGTGGAATAGATATCAATGGCAATAACACCAATATCAAGTACTGGTTAAATGGAAAACTGTTAGGTACAGCTTTCAAACATGGAACGACTATTCCTCGTTCTACTAAGAAATGTAATCTACTTCCTCATGGACCGGCAACAAGGTTTTTTCCTGGTGTCACTTTACAATATCGAAATTCACCATCGAACTGTTGTGAAATGATTTTCAGCCCAGAAGATATGAAACAATGTCCTTTACCCGCCGATTATAAACCACTTCTACTGCCGACATTAGTACACACAGAGAATTCTCTCGTTGCTTATCCTTTACATGCTTATGTCATCGTTGGCAACGATACAAAAGATTATTTCTACACATCACGAATGATGCCATCAATTTCACTTTTACGTGATTTCGTCAATGAAGATCATCTCACAACTAACTTTCAGATAGACGAGCATGGACTTACTCTATCAGAGAACAGCGATGGTTTTCCATTAACGATAAAGCAGAATTTCTTTACCATCGCATATGATTTTCAACTTTCTCAAATCGAGAACGAAATGCAAATCCTCACATTAGTAATAATAAACAATGTTTCCATCGAAATTCCCTTGAAGAAACCGAACCAAACCATCCGAATAGCTATGATTGGGAATATCAGTGAACAACAAATCAAAGTTTATTGGAACAATCAAAATCAAACATTTCAAATACCATTTTCAAATGAAAAAACACATCAACTGACTTTGTATCATTTACCAAAGATTGCTGCTAGAATGCAAAATATTGCTGTTTGGGACTTTGCTCTTTCCGAAGATCATGTTCGTCGTCTCTTTACCTATGGTCTCTTTTACGTTGCAGCAGATTATCAACAATTGCAAGAACATCAAAAACAAATAAACACGTTTTCCTTCAGAGAAAGACAATTCTCCAATCCACTTCTCATACCATTTGATCAACCATTTGATGAAGATATTTGGGAAATGAAGAAAAAACAAGCAGATCAAAATGAATCGAAATACTTTTCCAATAAAGATCTGTCAACAATCAAACTGGTGGGAACTCGAGCGTACCTGGTTCTCGAAAAATCCATCGAATCATGGTCGGAATATACTATCATTTTGGATGTATCAATCGGCTATTGGCCGAGCAAAAGCAAATATTGGTCACTAGTGCAACTGAATGATAAATCCGAAGTATTCGTCACACACGAAGGTAAACTTGGTATCAAAACTGGAAAAACCGAAAAAGAAAGTGATGAGACTTTAATTGCAAATAAATTCTACCGACTATGGATTACCGTTGACGAGTCATCATGTCATATTTTTGTGAATGGAGAATTACAAATCAATGTGCAAGTGAAAGATGATCGACTTGTTGCTCAATCCAATCGATTTTATTTATTTCAAGAAAAAGAACTAACGAGTAAAACTACCAAAGAAGATACCGTAAGAATTCGTTGTCAGTCCATCACTTTTCTCAATCGATCAACGGCGATGAATGAACAGATGAAAACACCAAACTCTTCACTTCAATCGTTAGTCGCACCACCATTGTCGATTATTATCCCAAGTTTAATCGCCATTGGTCACCAGCCAGAATGGATTCAAGATATCATTGAACAATACAAAACGATGAAGATTTCAACGATTGATCGTATTCTACGTGAACAGAAAGAACAATTGGAAAGGAATGCGTTGGATAAGAAGAACAAACAATTCTTACAGATTTTATCTACATTAAGTCCAACAATCGATCAACATAAACTGAATAATTTAATCTCTAATTGGAGTTTTTCCAGTCATGATCAAGTCACTAATGTTGGTCGATTCATTTTAACTCATTGGAATGATTTACAACGAACAGAATCGACGAACCAAGACAGTGAATTTGATATGAAAAGATGGATTGACGATCTATCGATCATGACAATAGAAGGTGGTGATGTGATGCTAGCGGAAAAAACAAACCGTAGTAATACTCGATTCACATTGGCGTCATCATCAAGCGATTCCGAAGATGTGTTAGAAGAAGAAGACTCTTCCAGCAGCGACGAAGAACCAGTACTTAATGATAATGATGATGACGACTCTTCTGACTCATCGTTGGTTTATCAACACGAACCGTGTGTGAATACTAATGGTGATGGAATGTTTACCAATCGATTACTTGACTTAACTCAAGAACAACGTGAAGAATTCACCACTCTTGAAACTGAACAAAAAGCAATGGAATTTTTAAAGGAAGACATTTCTAGTCAACAATATAATCAATCTCGTATCAGTTGTGAACAAAGACTATCAACAATCTATGCTCGTGATACACTTATGAATATGATTAAAGTTTGGTCGAATAACTCAACGACTCTTTTTCCTTTGAACAAATTTGGTGATTCAACTTTTCTAGTAAAACTATATCGATTGATGTTCTCTCATTACAACATGGGCTTATTAATTACTTCGCTGCTGAAAGTCGAATTGAAACAATTTCTTGATCAAAATTTGGAAAATAAAGCATCATTACTCTGTGCATTGCAAGAGAGTATTTGTGATCAAATCATGCAATTTCTAGTTGAACCAGCTTCATTAAAGGAGAATAACTCTGACGAAGAAACGATTTTTATTTGGAAAGCACTTAATCTTCTTGTCGAATTGCTCAAAGATAAATCGACAATAAAACAAAATCAAATCGATATTCTACTTCCATTATTATTTCCTATTCCTATGACTTATTTAATCTTCAAACTCTTCCTATCAATGGAAAGTCATTCATCAAAAATCATCATTCTCCGTCTTTTTTCCAAGTAAGTTGATCAGACAATTGAATATCAATAGAAAGTTATTTGATTTCTCTTTTTGTTTATTAGTTTACTTCAAATCAGTCATTCATTCAAATTGAACACACAAATAGAACAGTTTCTCTTTACATTACTTCGAGATTTTCCATCGAACGAACCGACGTTGAATTCACTTCGTTTGTCTGTCATGGATGTAGTGTTTCTTTTCACTGAACAAGATGCTGAATCGCAACATAATCAATTGCCGGAAAATGTTCGTAGTCTCTTCACAACTATCCACATGATCCGTGCAATGACAGATCAAAGCAAACAAGCACCAGTACCGGAACCATTTTTTACCGAATCTGAAACTCTACTAGGAGATGAAATGCAATTGAACCGTGAGGATTTTGACAAATCTAATCGTCATTTTGATCGGCAATCTGATCTTCAATTAATCGATCTAATGAACAAAAGTCAAGCTTCATGTACGTCTTGTACTGAATTTATTCATATTCTACCGACGGAGTCTGTTCCAAACTTAACGTTTTATCAGAATTATCCATCGTTATCGAGTACTCCCGCTGATTGTGTTGTAATTCGAGCGAAAGTTCTGTGTCATTTACAACTTCGCATCATTAACGCTCTACCCTTCGTCGATTGCAATTTATTACCAGGAGAAAGTTTTCTAACGGATCAAATTCGAAAAGCAAAGATGTATCTTCTCTCTTTCAAGAAACATCAACTTCTTGATCAAACAATGCTAGCTACTGAATCAGGATATAATCGTGGACATCTTCAAGTCAGTTTTGATATTTTAGACGCTACTACGTCTAATGAAAACAATGAAAATACCATGTTTCATCAAGCGTTCCAACAGCTATATGATAAAGCACAGGATCAATTCAGAAAAAAAGATGTACAAATTTGGAAAGCGCAGTATCTAAATATGCATAGTACAGATCAAGGCGGTCCTTATCGTGATTCAATTACTCAGATATGTTTAGACATTTGTAGTATACGATTACCCCTGTTCATCTTATGTCCAAATGGTCGAACTAACAGTGGTTCAAATCAAGATTGTTGGATTCCTAATGTTTTTCTACCGAGCAAGCCCATTCCAGATAAATTAAAGAAACAATATCGTTTTGTTGGACAATTAATAGGATTAGCCATTCGAAAGAAACATTATTTGAACATTAAATTTGCTTCACTACTTTGGAAAGGATTACTCTACGATCGGATCACGATCGATGATATTCAAGCGATCGATTCACAAAGTTTTACATTGATTCATAGTATTGAACAACAAATTGATGATAATACCAATATTGATTATATCTTCAATAGTATTTTTAGTGAACTAAGCTTCGAAGTGATGAGTTCAGCGCAACAAAGTTTTGAATTAGTGCCTGGTGGAAGTCAAATTCCAATTACTGCAGAGAATTTCAAAGAATATTCTTACCATTATCGTCAATACCGACTGAATGAATTTCATCGACAAATTGACTATATTCGTCAAGGATTACATTCGGTCGTCCCTGCTTACTATTTAAATCTGTTTACTGCCAGTGAACTAGAAGAAGCTGTCTGTGGAAAAGGTCATATTGATGTCGAATTATTAAAACGAAATACAAGATATCGTCATGGTTATAATGAAAATTCACCGGTGATTGAAAAGTTTTGGAAAGTAATGAGTGAAATGTTTACTGAGGAACAAAAGAGAATGTTGTTAATATTCGCTTGGGGACGAAGTACATTACCAATTCGAGATGAAGATTTCTCAACAAAATTCGTGATTGGCAAATTTCGTGTAGAAAACGATAATGTTGATCAAACACTTCCATGTAAGTCGAGCTTAATCTAGTTTAGAGAGATAGTAGAAGATAATTGATTTATTTTAGTATCTCACACCTGTACTTTTACCATGGATCTACCAGAATATTCCACGATAGAAATCATCTATGAACGTTTGGATTATGCTATCACACATTGTTCAAGTATTGATGGTGATGGAAACATGAATATACCAGTCCCCAACAATTACAGCGATGATTCATATAGTGATGACGATGACTGAATTTAAGATGTGTGCATTTATCTAGACTATCTTGTATCCGCACCAACTGTACTGACAAAAATCTTTATATTTTTGAAATAAAAAATAGTCTCTTTAATCAGATCAATACCAAAAACAAAACTTTGTTCTCATTATTAATTGCTAAATAAAAGAATATGAACAAGACTCTAAAATCTATTCGAAAGTATAATTCAAAAATATGACAGTCAATAAATTGTTTTTTTCATAGGAATTGTTCGAAGACTTATACGAAACAGTGATTATAAATTTTATCATTAATCGCACGGCTTAACCATATTGTTAATATCATTTGTATTTGTTTTGTTAACGATCGAGGCTAAAGTAATTTGAATACTCCAATATCATTCACGATAGGATCAATTATCATAGAAAAAAGACTTATCTTAACCAGTCATGTTCCATTCACTATAAAAAGAAAAGTGAAATTTAGGAATTCTCACTCTTATAAGATTTAATAGAAATATTTGTATAATAACAAAGTGAATAGAACAAAATGTTTTCAATTGTCATTAAAAATTTTCTAAAGATAAATTCAATATTTTATTTTATTTTAACGTTATCATAATTATTAATACACTAATCGACATTTTGTCCAGATACTTGTGATTTAGACATAGCATCTACTATCATCAACCACACTATTTTCTTTTCAGTATTTAATAAAATACTATACACAGTTTTGTTCAAATGCAGATGAAATATAATATCGCAAGTAGGAGAATGTTGATAATCATAGAAAAGAAAACTAATTTGTTGGTGATATTATAAATCTAACTGATCTAATATTGAGATGTAACTCAGTCATTCTCTCGAAATACCATTCCTTTTTATATAAAGATGTACAATACATCACGTTATATTTATCTCGAAGATCAAATAAAAATCTTATTGTTTATACTTCAGAAAGTCTTATATATCTTATAGTTTTTTTACACTCAGTAAAAAATTTTTTCATCTTGAAATTCAGCAACACCCGTTTTTTCTTTCCTGTTTAAAAAAAACTTGACTAAACTCCAAACTAGTATATGAATAGCCGTCTTTTTTTTTCTCTCGTCCTTGTTGGAAAACGATAAATAAAAAACAGCATGTAACATTTATGAGCAATATACGTTTACAACAAACTTGAATGTGTTAGGCGTTACCTTAGTTATTGGCTAGTGACAAAAAAAATTTTTTTTTTTCTTTCTTTTCCGTTTGCTCACTTATTATAAAGAGAAAAACAGTTGACCGCATTCATCCGTTGTGTTAGTATAAAGTGTGACACGTAAATATCAACAATAAAATGGGGTAATAATAAAAGCCTTGAAGTTTTAGGCCAATTCCAAACAAAACCGAAAAATATAGTTGATTATCATAGATAATCAATCATATCTTTCAGCTTTCGTTCTAGCTTCGACTAAAATTTTCGGTCTTCTACATTATTTAGTAAAATATCGTTTTTTTTAAATCTTTTTAGTCATGATCAAAGTCAACAAGCTCATGAAGCTGTCTATGGAGACCAACCTCAACATAAGTCATCGTGGACACATGAACTTATAGGCGGTGCAGCTGGTTTTGCTGGTAAAATTCGCATTTTTAAATTAACAACAAATCATAATTCTTTTTATTTTTTGTAGCTATGAAAGCTTATGAAGATCATGTTCGTAGTACTGGTCAACAAGTATCGCATCCATTCATGAAGGAATTGCTAGCTGGTTTTGCGGCAGCCGCAGTTGACAATCTCTTTGAAACTGAAGGACTTGATTTTCTTGATCGAGAAAAAGCAAAACAACAAGCTGTTCAGCAAGCACATACAATTGCTGAGGAGAAATATGGACCAGGTGGCACATTTAATGGTTAAGATGATCAATAATTAATAAAGTGCATAATAATCAACAACATTCTTATTATTATAACAATTAATACACTTCTTTTTATTTCTATCATTTTAAACCTTTGATAATAATTCATAATAAAACAAAGAGAAAAAAGCCATTTATATTAACATAAATCAATTTTATTGTTATTTGTTTTCTATTGTTCTCTATAATTTAAACAGAGTATTGTAGAAAAATTAACCGACGTAAAAAAATTTATTACAAAAGTGAACAAATATTGAAGATGTAGAATTGAAGAGTTATATATAAACTATCGTTCGAATAAAAATCCCACTCATTTGATCTAGTAGTATTATGTTCTGTGTAATATATCAATGTAAAGCACATGACAACTGACAATAATAATAATAAAAAACCTTCGTCGTATATATTCTAGAGACATTATTCTTGTTGGGATGATAAAAAAACAAAAATCTTTCACATGCGTACGTAAAGGAAGAGAAATTTCATGGTATATCGCTAACGGAAAAAGTGAATGGCAATGCACTGATATAATCATGAGCGATGAGGAAAAATCCTTGCAGTCACATCCAAAGAAAATACGAATCATAAGATATACGAAATAAACCTATTCATGATGTAGAGGAAGTACTCGTGATTGCCTTTTCAAAAACTTAAACTATATAAAGAGCTACATCCAAAATCTTAATACGATAATATCTATATAAAGTAGCTTTTTTCACCGGAAAACCGACTGATAATGTCATCAACTACATCGGTCGCCGGCCACGAAGATTTTTTGTTGAAAACTGTTATGGTTTTCGAATTAATTTACAACGTATTAAGTGCTTTAAAAAAATGGAGGAGATAGCCAATCGAGAAGCAAACGAAAATGGTCACTTACGGCATGACTTCGAATCTTGGCTGTTAAGAAACTTTGAACTGAACCGAGAACATAGTAATTTGCTTATGAACGAAGAATTAGATTTTGATGCTAAATATATTGATATGATGATAAATGGTATACGAAACAAAAAGAATGATAATAAATTAAAGTTTGAGCAAGCATTAACCGAATATGAACATGTGAGAGAAACTCCTCAACGACGAGTCGTGCGATCAAAATACGCAACTGAGTGTTTTTACTCATTTCTTCGAAAAATATTGGTGTTCAATACAATATATATATATATGAAACGCATCAAAATCGATTACAACAAGAATTTGAATGAATTGTTCAGTGAATACAGGAAGTGGCTTTCTCACAATTGGCTATTTGGATGCAGATTGAGTGGGAAACCTTCAAACAAAAATGTTCAAAAATGAAGAAATTGAGATAGTTTCCAGGCAATGTACGTTACCAAAAAGACGTACATTTTTACAGCAAATGGCTCAAAAAGTCGGATAAATTTATGAACGTATACGTGATCACTTACGATAGATTCGAGATAATGCTATTACATTGAAGCAAGCGTTTCTAAATCCATTTGTGGCACCGATTGAAAGTCGCAAAAATATTATGCATGTTTTCTGTCATCCACTACTCACAGCGATTGGTGGAAAAGCAGCCCGAGAAAGTGCTCTGACAGGCTCAAATGCAACTGAAGCTGAAATAAGGCCCCGACACAGCTCAATAGAGCAGTTGAATCGAGAAAAAGAACAATATCGTCAACGTGCACGAGAAACCATGAAAGAACAACGAAAGAGGGATGAGATTCAACAAAGAAAACACATCTTTCGAACTTCTTAGTAGTGGCGCTAATAATACATTAGATGCATTGAAAAACCAAGATTACGAGAGACTGACTTCTCTTCTTGATCAATTTATTCTCACAAACCTAAATTATATAAACTTCACACATCACTTTAGAGAACGAAGTAATTTTCTTGATCTCTTATGATTTTATAACTTATGATGACATATTATAATATCTAATGGAAATTGAAAAGTTTCAGTTTTCTTTATTCTATGTTTATCTACTTTTCGCGTCTGATAATTTTATCCTAATTGAATAGAATTTTGCCAACGAAGAAAATGTACACAATAGGCGACAATTTTCGAGATGATGCTATTGATCAGAGATTGACGGAACGTCACATTGTTAGTTCTCGTTTTGTCTCGTAACTTCCATCCGAAATTACTAGATATAACACGGTAATGAAGAATTTAATAATTCCTGCTCTCATTAAAGATAATGAGCGTCGGGTGCGGCTATTTCGTTATTTTTTATATTCACACCCACAAATAAAATAAGATTTTCTTTGTAGATTACGGAGTTTCTCACATTGCATTGTCTGACATATTTGTTTTTTGATGAAACTTTTTGACAGATGAAAATAAGGAATGATGAGTACGCCAATTCATTATTGACCATGCAATAGATACATATATGAATAATAGTTAATATATGCAATTGAAGAGATTCTCCTACAGGATCATTTTGAACTAAATTCTACTTTTTGTGATTTTATTTATTAATAAAATATTAAAATCTAGTACTTGAGATCAGATTCACTCAATATAACCTGTAAGTTGTGAAAGTTTCATACGATTTCTAAATACTTATGTATTTCATGATAATAGACAAGTGCAAAACGACTTTTTCCTAGCTCCGGTCCTGATTAACAGGAGAAAATTGATTTTATTTTATTTTGTTAACGATCGAGGCTAAAGTAATTTGAATACTCCGATATCATTCACGATAGGATCAATTATCATAGAAAAAAGACTTATCTAAACCAGTCATGTTCCGTTCACTATAAAAAGAAAAGTGAAATTTAGAAATTCTTATTCTTATAAGATTTATCAAAGATATTTGTATAATAACGAAGTGAATAAAATAAAATGTTTTCAACTGTCATTAAAAGTTTTCTAAAGATAAATTCAATATTTTATTTTATTTTAACGTTATCATAATTATTAATACACTGATCAACATTCTTTTCATATTTTTCTGATTTAGACATAGCATCTACTATCATCAACCAGACTATTTTCTTTGCATCGCAAGTTGGAGAATGTTGATAATCATAAAAAAGAAAATTAATTTGTTGATGATATTATAAGTCTAACTTATCTGATATTGAGATGTAACTCAGTCATTCTCTAGAAATACCATTCATTTTTATATAAAGATGTACAATACATCACGTAATATTTATCTCGAAAAATAGCCAAGAATCTTATTCTTTTTTTGTTAAACAAAACTTGCTTGTACTTCAGAAAATCTTATATTTTTTTACAATCAATAAAGATTCTTTTCATCTTGAATTTCAGCAACAACCATTTTTTCTTTCCTGTCTAAAATCCGGACTAGTATATAAATAGCCGTCTTGTTTTTCTCTCGTCCTTGTTAGAAAACGATGAATAAAACAGTATGTAGCATTTATTATCAATGTATGTTTACATCAAACGTGAATGTGTTAGGCGTTACCTTAGTTATTGACTAGTGACAAAAAAAAAGTTTTTTCCTTTCTTTCTTTTCCGTTTGCTCACTTATTACAAGGAGAAAAATAGTTGAGCGCATTCATCCGTTGTGTTAGTATAAAGTGTGACACGCAAACATCAACAATAAAATGGGGTAATAATAAAAAGCTTGAAGTTTTAGTCCTAACTTCGACTAAAATATCCGGTCTTTTATATTATTCACTAAAATATCGTTTTTTTATAAAAACTTTTCAGTCATGATCAGAGTAAACAAGCTCATGAAGCTATCTATGGAGACCAACCTCCACATGAGTCATCGTGGACACATGAACTTATAGGCGGTGCAGCCGGTTTTGCTGGTAAAATTCACATTTTAAATTAATAACAAATCATAATTCTTTTTATTTTTTGTAGCTATGAAAGCTTATGAAGATCATGTTCGTAGTACTGGTCAACAAGTATCACATCCATTGATGAAGGAAATGCTTGCTGGTTTTGCGGCAGCCGAAGTTGATAAACTTTTTGAAACCAAAGGACTTGATTTTCTTGATCGAGAAGAAGCAAAACGTCAAGCTGTTCAACAAGCACATGCAATTGCTGAGGAGAAATATGGACCAGGTGGTACATTTAATGGTTAATAATCAACAACATTCTTATTGTCATGACAATTAATCCACTTCTTTTTAGTTCTATCATTTTAAATCTTTGATGATAATTTACAATAAAACAAAAAAAAAGCCATTGATATTAGCATAAATCAATTTTATTGTTATTTGTTTTCTATTGCTTTCTATAATTTAAACACATTTATTCAAAGGTGAATAAATAGTGAAGATATATAATTGAAGAGTTATATCTAAACTATCTAATAAACATGCCATCAAGTGTTATAGAAAATAAGCATTATAGGAGAAAAAAAAATTTGATAAAAAAGCACAAGGTTTTCATTGCAAATATGTTTACGCTTGAATAAAAGTTTTAGCCACGACGTCGGTAACCATTGTCGGATAAGATGATTTATCCTAAAATGAAAAAATATAAATACACCAGTTTATAGAACTTTCTTGAAGCACGTCGAATGACATATATTGAATTTTGTTTATGAGAGTAGGATTGAGTTTCACAGAATACACTTAATGCATTGTACGACAATCATTTCGAATAAGGGTGTGAGTGTGGGTTTGAGTACTTTATCACTCATACAGTCAAATGAAGTTACACTAACACGCACATCCTCAGGTTTATCATCGTCCAATACGTTGTTTACCCACACTCAAGATCAAGCCCTGTCCTACTCATGTATTTATCTAATTGCATTAATTGGTATCGAAAGAGTTTAATAAAAATACTTAAAGAAGTTCCAAAGACCATTATATCATACCTGGCAGTTTCACCCAATGGAACTGTATTTTATCTAGTATTTTTCCTGCATTACCAGAAAAGAAGGACAAAACATAGCCTGGCTCTTCTACAGTGAACGCATCACCATCTTGAGTACCACACATTTGACTCTGTCTTCCTAGATTAGTAGTGAACTGCAACCAATAGACGACGGCCTTTGCACCACCTGTAACTTTCACAATATATTCATTAGGATTCAAATTAAAGGAACCGCAATCCTTTGACTTTGAAGTTGTGCCAGTGTTATTTCCGAAACCGACTTTCGCTGCTTGTTTTGTCTGTCCATCGAGTGTTTGGTAAGTAGCTTGTAATGATCCTATAAGAAGATTTTAAAGTTTTTGTCAGCATTTACGATCGTAATTTGAGATAGTGTGAATAGGACGTTTGAGATCAAATTATAAATGGAAAAAATAAGCTCGACATGTAAATTCGAAATTTCGAGCTTATATTTTACCCAAACTATAGTCTGTTCAACATGTGGTTTTTTGATGCCAAGAAACAATGAGTATGAGCCATATTTATGGTAAGTTGGCAGATATTTGTATAGATTTTTAAACTATACACGAAGTGCATTTATAAAATGACGTAGATCAACCCTTAAGAGCCGAAGGGGGTTCTTGTCAAGTTCATGAAGAATTAATCACATAAATAGAGATCTTGAGCCCTCAATATGCACTTACCATGGTTAGAACTGCGGGGTGTGACCAAAACTTTTTTCCACCCAGATGGTGTGGGTGGAATATAACCTTCATAATTTTTTGTGCGCTTGAGTTTCTAATATGGTTCAGAATTACTGTAAGTTCATTCTGATGATATTTTAACATATCTCCAATTATCTGTTGAACGAAAAATCCACAATAATCGTGATTACTATGCCCAAAAATGCCATTAAAATGGTACTTTTTTTATAACGTCAGAATACTTTAGTATAAGAGTTAAAAGCGTGCAAAGTTGTTCTAAACTATAGTTTAGGGTTATTTCTAATGATATCAGGATATATCAATATCCGAGTAACCAATTTTGCTTGGAAAATTATACATTCTAAGAGCTAGGTTTGGGCGTTTGACAACTATTTGACAACTGTTTTACCATAATGTTGTTCCATCATACTTTCACTATGACTGTCTTCGTCCCTAAAACCAGTAGCTTTTGCAGAAAAGACTTTATTCCTTCGTCCTATAGCGTTTCATGCAATGTCCCTTGGAATAGACATACGGCTCTTAACGGTTAACTTTTTTAAAAAAGATTTCAACAGATACCCTAGCTTCTCATAGAGATTTAGCAATATTAAAGGTTTACCATAAAAAAGTTTATAGAAGCAACCGAAAAACAGATTAGCGCATTCTACTAAAATTTCTTTTTAAGAGTTAATCTATGTTATTCTATAAACGCACTTTTTCTATAGTTTTAAAATCTTTAACACATCCACCAACTTAACATAAATATGGTTCATATTTCTTGTTTTTTATTATCAGTACATCTCATTTTGAGCAGACTATAATTTAGGCGGTAGCTTTTTATTCACACTGTTTCAAAACTGTCATTATTTGTAAACATGTTTACATACCTATGCCAACGGATGTTCCGAAAACGTGCTTTGTTTGTACCATGTGAATTGTTTTAGGAATAAATATCTTCGAATTGCCGAAAATGTTCATATCATTAAATGGGCTTCCGCCGCCGCCACCATATACACTACTTGATACTATACCTATTGTCGTTAAAGACATAAAAGAAAAATTCATAATGAATGAACGTATCGAACTAAATAGTTAGCACCATTGAACCTCAATAAAGAGATGTTGTTAAAATTTCGTGACTGAAACCATATTTCTGCTAACTCAAAACATCGGACAAAAATTTCGATGTATAGATACTACTGACACTAACGTAAGCAAAGGGAAGCTTTCCGAATACTTTCAGCTTAATCAACGAGTAGAAAGGAAACCGCAAGAAACTGGAAACTATCAATGCAAAGAAACAAAATTGCTAAAATGTTGAAGAGAAAATCGATAAATCGCTAAGGTTTTTTCGTAATTACGTAAAGTGTGATGTGATTCAAGAAATAAACGCTTTGAGAGAGGTAACGAACATGCGCTGATATACGTTCCGTGTCTCACTGACGTAGGAAGTCAGATGACAAAATTCGTCACAGAGACATCTTAGTATTGCTTTGGAGAGTGACGTGCGAATATGCATAATAATATCTATTAAAACACTAGAAGCAATAAACTGCAACAATAAGGTATTTCTTATTAGCTAATCTAAGTTGAGGGTGTGGATGAGGATGGGTGTGTGTGAGTATGAGTGTGAGGATGGATGATGGTATGAAGTAGGTGTGGCGTGGTTTTGAGCGTCTCCTCGTTCATCGCCCTCACGCTAACTCTCACCCTTTCATCCACACCCACACCCTGAACCTCGTTCACTACACCATTTAGCACAGCCGCAAGTTGTACCTTCAGTAAAGCCTAGACAAAATATCTCATAGTTGAAGACTATCAGAGAGAAATCTACGATAAAAGCGTCTCTTACCATTGTCAGCAGTTACAGCTGTTTTCGTTTCTAGAAATATGAAGTGCCCATATATTAAAATTAGAATCATAAAGAGTAGCATGTTTAGTCTAGAAATGTTTGTCTTCAGCCACTCAATAATAATTATCATAAGTAATAGAGTTGAAAATGTACATGGAGTTTTATCGGACTGTGAAAAAAGATTCAAGATTTTACGAAACAAAGCAACTTTCATTGTGGACTTAGACGTATACCTACTCTGTAAAAAAAGATGTCACACTGAACCATAAAGGATTCTAGATTTAAGTACCATTTTCAGAACGTTTTCACGTTGGAAGAATATATGGCTTTATCTCTAACCTGTTTATTCGTTCTTCTAAAGAAGGTTCTAATCTGTTAGAAAGCAGTTCATTTCAGACGTTTTTTCTAGTGCCACTGATTGATTCTACATCTAACCACTTATTTCTATCCTTAGCCTGTTATATATACTCTTAAACCCTATCCTAAACCACCTGTTTCTATTTTTAGTCTAATCCTTAGTTTCATCCTTAACATCATCCCTAACTATCCGCTTCTATTCTTAACATTTACCGTATCCGTAACGTTAACTACCTATTCCGATCCTTATCCTTATTCTTAAGCATATGTTTAACTTTATCTTAAATCTTATTCTGAGCTCCGATTTCAATCCGTTATTTTATCCTTACACAGTGAAGAATTATCAGATTATATCCTACTATATCAGACTGTGATTTGATTTTTTTGCTCTTAAATAAAAATAATAGTCGATTAAAATCTTTTAACCCTCGAACGGTTTTTGTGGGTCCGACAAGACCTACAACACTATTTTTTTGATTTTTCTACACGAAGACGCATCATTTTCGGGGCTATCTCTCTCCTAATCGTTAGTCATATGATGAGGAACATACACCATCTTGAACTTCGTACTGAAGTCTTACGATTAGAAAACCGAAGTGTGGGTCTACACGGAACCTTCGATACCTTTGATGTTATATAAGCGATTTTAATACAGATTCCGCCTGTCATCTACTTTTTTTGAGTTTATTGGATCCAGATTCGTTAGTACAACATTACCAGTAGTAAATCATTTACATTCTTAAATATTTTTCTGGCGATTTTGTTATATTCATTCAGTAACATTTTAAAATTGAAATCTTATGATAACCTTTTTTCAAAAATTTTCATGAAAAAAAACCGTCGTTTTTATAGATCACAGTCATACTAATATATTCACGCTTTGATAAAAAGTACAGTATAAGGTGTAATAAACAGCATCTACTACAGAATTGATGAAAAATCAAGTTTATCCAATATATTTTTACGTGGGTCTCTCTGGACCCACAAAGACCATTCGTGTGATAAAATGGGAATACCGCTCGAGGGTTAAACCAAATCAGCGTTAGTTTAGGAGATCTCAATCTATTATCATATTTATTTCGAAGTAAAAAAGTTTGATTATAGTCTGATTTAATAGAATATCATCTGCCATTTTTCATAACATAACCTTGATTGTATGTTTCAAAGACTTTTTCATTTAACCTTTTGCTTATATTTACAATTTGATAAACTATTGTTTTTTCAAATGATGAATAAATATATCAAATTTTTATTGATATCAACGATCTTGGAAGATACTGTGCGAAGATTAAACTGTAGCCCAAATATAAAAATTGTATTTTTTTCTCTATTTTCACAAATATTCATAAATGATATCTATCTTTAATCGATTGAATTGTGACCTGATATCAAATGACTCGTCTTTATGACGACATATTAGGATAAAAGCCTATAAAAAGACTTCTCAACAATTAAAATATTCAAATATCCTCATTCCTCAAGAATTCATTGCAATGAAAAGAGAAATATTACATTATATTTTCTTTTAAACTTTGAGAAAATGTTTTGCATTCCGGTAACAGCTCACATATTTCAACAGTGATTCCGATGTTTTACATATCGATAAGCACTCATTGTATTTACCTATCATTTGAAAAAAGGATAATTAATTAAGTTAGAGCAAAATGCAAGACACTTTTGAAATATTTGTTATGTTTATCCTTAACTCTTATATCTGACTCCATTGACAGAATTCTGTTTTTACTTCTTTAATCCTATTTGTAACTGCTTAATTCGACCTTTATTCATTTATTTCTATCCTTATCTATTAATCATATATCCTATTTGTTTTATATATAATCTATATTTCGATGCTTGACTGCTATATTTATATCTAAACTCCACTAATTTGAAGGCGATAAACAACAAGCGACACGAACAGAAAAATATTTTAATATTTAAAATTTTTTCAGTGAAGAAACATTCTACGTAGTCAAAAGAACGACAAAAACTTTAGTTTAATTTATTCAAGTAATCAGCGCCCTAAAAATAGTAGTAACACATAATCGTAGTCCTTTATGAAAATCAGATAGAAACAGCTATCAGTCATCAGAATATTTCTATTTAAACAATCTAAATACGAAGTGTGAGTGTGGGTTTGAGTACTTTATCACTCATACAGTCAAATGAACTT